GTGTTTAGATGTTCTTCTCATGTATCTTATGCCAAAATAGAGGGCATATCATCTAATATATTATGTAATACGTTTATTTAAATTGATTTTTATATCACATAATATCCATCATCTATTCTTCCTCTCCATCTTTTAAAAAAGAAATATTTTTAACTAACAGATCTAAAATTTAACTTCAATTTATTAAAATTCATCCACTTTTAGATGCTTTTGTAAGAATACTAAAAACATTAATAGAATGGAGTATATTAATTTATTAGGAGAATATATTTTATCACTACAGTAGTTCGTTGGTATGATGCTATTAGTTGATTTTACTGTTATTAGTTGATTTATCTAGTAGTAGTGAAATTTTTCTTTTGAGTTCACAGTACAATTTTTTTTTTGAGTTCGAGAAATGTCAAACGCACCAATAATTTACTCGGAGAAAGTTTAATGATTACATGCGAGGGATTAGGGTCGGTACTTTGCAAAGCCAGCATAGATCCCACAGGTGGGTTTACATAAAATGTCAAACTTTATTGTAATACTTTTTTGAAGAATAAAAAAACTACATTTCATAAAATATTAATACTATTTTCCCAAATGGTCAAACAATGTAACTAATTTCGTAAACAAAATATTTACATTTTTTGTTGACAAAAAAAAATTACATTTTCAAATTACCAAAAATCTTAAATTAGATAATAGATTTTTATGCATAGCTGACATACTATTATACTAAAATTATATTCATCACATGTAAAATACATCTATATTATTAAAAGAGAAGTACCAAATAGAAATAACCCTTACTTTTAGTAGTTATTTACAATAGAATGCCATTGAAATATTTATTGAACCTATATTTAAGCATGCTTGTCTTTTCCTAATTTATATAATAGATTTAAGTATTTAATATCTTTTCATAGTTTAAATAATAGATTTTCTTAGTCAAATCTTAACCAAAATAAATTTCCTAATATATTCGGTATTAACATATTCAATATTTTAACATTTATTAGTAAGAATAATATGTTATTTTCTTTATCTATATTATTAAAAGAGAAGTACCAAATAGAAATAACCCTTACTTTTAGTAGTTATTTACAATAGAATGCCATTGAAATATTTATTGAACCTATATTTAAGCATGCTTGTCTTTTCCTAATTTAGATAATAGATTTAAGTATTTAATATCTTTTCATAGTTTAAATAATAGATTTTCTTAGTCAAATCTTAACCAAAATAAATTTCCTAATATATTCGGTATTAACATATTCAATATTTTAACATTTATTAGTAAGAATAATATGTTATTTTCTTTAAGAAATTATGGAAGTTATAGTTACACATATTTATATATATTTTAAGTATTTATAATTTTTTTAAGGAATGATAAGATTTTGGAATTGGAAACAATTTTGCCCACCTCTATATTATGTTAATTAAGAAATTTAAAATTTATATCAAAATAATTTTTAAAAATTTGAAATTGAATTATTATAACTGTAAGAATTAATTTTCAATCAAAGTTTATGTTTAATTATTATAAATGAATCATTTAATATAAATAAATACATAAAATAAATATCCGCTCGATCGGGCGGGTCAAGGTCTAGTTATAAATTATATATTTCATTCAAAAAGTAAATTTAAGTTGTTTGGCAAACATAACATAAGTGCAAGAACTAAAATACATAATCCGCATATAACGATATAACCATGGTGATTAGCTACCACAACAAGTACAAATGATGTAATAAAAATGAATAAGAAATTCAAAACCGAATTAAAAATACATTACTGTGAATTTATTAAACTTATTTATATTCATTTCTGCAATAAAAATTAAAGGAAAATATAAAACATAAAAAAACAATTGTACACCACACCAAATAAAAGTATGCAAATTCAACAATAAAAAAAAGTTTAGAAATTCATATTCAAAAATTAAGTTTTGCAACCTTAAGCAATACACATTTATCTAGACTAGAAAATTGTAAAAATATTTTATAAAATACAAAATATTTGTTAAAGACGAAACTAGAAATTCATATTAATATTTTTAAACAACCAACAAACATTAAAATACATTCGTACATGTGTTCCGATAAAAATACTCAAAATTCTATAAAATTAAGGGGATGATTGTTTGTTTGGTTTCTAGATTTTGGATTTTAGTTTTTATTTTTTGGTTTTTGAATTTTAGATTTTGATTTTTGGTTTTTGATTTTGCATTAGAATTTAATTTCTGGAAAAACATGATGGTGAGTTTAGATTTTGGTTTCAGTTTTTGGTTTTACTGTTACAATAATAAGTGAAAATGTTATTAATAGTAAAATATTTATTCTGGAAATAAAATATAAAATATTATTATCAGAATACACATAAAATTCTTACATATTAGCAAAAAAAAGCAAATAAAAATTCTAAGTTTAAACATACACTTAAAAAAACAATAACATAAAATATTATTAAAAGGAAAATAATTATTATTGAAAACAATTTACTATCGCTTCCTTATTAGATAAAATATTATTTAACTGTAATAGTTTTAGTAAAATTAAGTTGCATTATAAATTTTTTTTTTAATTTGACTGTAGTTAATTTTACTAACAATTTTGAAATTATAATTAACAACTCTCTTAAAACCCCACAAAATAAATAAAAATAATAAATATTTATACTAATACAGGTTATTTTGTAGTTTACAATTTAAATTTAAATGATAGACAAAAAAAGTTATTGATTCTTAATAATTTAGAATAATTGCTATTTTATTAATAATATCTTTTTATTTATTTATGCTATGTCAATGCATAAATATAGAAATATTAATATTTCAATAAAAGAAAAAAGTTAAAAAAATTAAAAAGTCACATACACTGCCTAAAAACCAGGAAAATGTGGTTTTGGTTTTTGTTAAGAGATAAGAAGTCATTTTCAAAATCTGGTTTCCCTAAATTTTAAGGATCTATTTTGCAAAAATCTTGATGGGTGAAAAAGTAGTTTTAATAAAATCAAAAACCAAAAATTACTTTAAAAAGTACAAACAATCAACCTTTAAATGTAAACTCATACAAACAATTAACATAGTAATAAAAATGCAATAAGTTAAAAATCAAAATATACAATCCGCGCGTAGCGGCTAGAAAGTATAACTTTTTACTCACCCCATTTATTAAAGATTTTCTCATAAATAATTTTACTCAATAAATTTTCACTGGCTAGCTTAGCAATCAAATGAAGGTACAAACACATATAGGATGATTTACTCAGAGTTTCAAATCATATGTCAGGCATGTATCTTTATTATATAAATAAAGATGTCTGCGTATCTATTTAATTTTGAGTTAACTAGCTTAATTTTTACTAATTTCAGGTTATTTCTTTCATATGGTCCACATCGCCGCTACCTCATTCTCTTCTTCAAAAGACATAATCTCTTTTTTACATTATTTATAATCACTTAAACTATTTTTTTTGTTTTTCTTTAAATTGTAAACACTTAATAATCACCAATTTTACAATACATTTTAAATTTTCAGTGTTCCCAATCCAAACATAACATTGAAAATTAGGATCCTAAACTAAACTAATTATTCACACATACGCGCGGAAAAAGACTCTAGTATATAATGATGTAGTTTTTTAAGCTTAAGAGCACTTCCAATGGTAATTTCTTACTTTGTAATTCTAAAGTTATATAAATACACCAATATATAGTTTTAGAATATTATGAAAAGAAACTATCACTGACGTTGCTCTAAGTTTAAAAAAAAAAAGATGTTGGTTTTTTTCAGTATTCAAATAATGTTGGTCCATTTTAAGAACTACAGGGAGGCATGAGAGTTGTTAATTTGTTATGTCACCGGTGGCTTTGTGTTGTTTCTGCTTTGGTTAATCATTTTAACGCTTTAAATATCAGATCTAATCGAGTCATTTTCTGCAACATTCTTTACCAACAAAACTTGTGACAGTAGCTTGGTCGGTGTTCAGTCTGAATCATCTAAATCTTTGGATCATCTCCACGATCCTCGTACACTTTCAAGCCTCCTCGGAATTTTCTGTGCTTGTTGGAGATATCAATCTTCCAAAATCATTTCTTGTGTGTTTACGAGCTAGCTAAGGCGTAAAATCTCTGCGTGAAACCTGTAATTCTATATCCCTTTGAAACCCATCATTTTTCATGCTTAGCAGTTTCGAAACTTTTGCTTTTATACCTTTAGGGTTTATGATTTGGTTTTATTAAGAATTTTCGTTAAGTGTTTATAATTTGGAGGATTCACTTTATATTTGTTGTTTTTTTTTTTTCTAAAAGTTCATTTTTGTATTTTTCCATAGCAAATTGGAAAAGAAATTATCGATTACAGTTCTAAATTCTAGAGTTAATGATGTTTAGTAGTGAGAAACTGAGAACATTAGTGATCATCTCAAAATGCAGTGACTAGTAGACCATTTCCATTTAGAGCTTATAATTGTTGGCTTTTGGGTTTCAGGTTCTGATTTCAACTACCTGTCTCATATCACGACCTCTGATGTTTTCAACGTCCGCCATTTATCGCGCTATATGCCGCTTGATCCATTACCTGATTTGGGGTCGAATCTTTCTAACCTCGGGAGACCTGATGTAGCATCATGATAGCTTTCCGCCAAGCAACCGTTTTCAATAAGTTTGGAATTTCCTTTTTGTTTCGTGTTTTGATTTCCCTTTGTCTTCTTAGTTTTCTATTTCCATAAGAGAAAGTTATCTTTAACCGACCCTAAGTCCTTATATAAAGGCAAGGATTTGTAGTTCTTTTACTTAGTTTTTTGAAAGACAATAAACTAGAGTTTTCTCTAAACCCTTACATTGATTTGATTTCGTTATCAATACGAGAGATTTGCATCATATTGATTCAATTCTTCGATTCAAGAAGTCAGGTCTCTAGATATTTAACCTAAATCTTTAGATTTGAGCTGAGTTGCCATTGATACGCTGCGCCAGAAAAGAAAGCACTAAAACTAATGGAAGTGAGATGGGAGGACGCAAAATAGTTGCTACTTCAACTCACGAGGAGTTCGCTAAATTTACCCCTCGAATGGCTGGTAGGTTGGACGAAGCCAAACGAAGCGCTTCTAGCGTAATTTTTTCGGTTACCGGATACAACACTTCACTTCCTAGCTGCTGATACCAAGGCCTCCTTGACCAACCATTTCTCTTCTTACGGAGAGATTGTGAATTTTCAGCTATACCCCATGAAATATTATCCCCTTCCAGATCAGTTTGTGCCTTCTTCCTCTACGTTTTTTGCTTTCCCCCTTTAATGTTCAAGCTATTGACTGTTTTGATTGTTTTTTAAATTCTTAAAGCCTAGCCATCATTTCTATTTTGGGAGAAGGTGCAAAAGAGAGGGCCCTGGAACTTAATGGGAGCAGGAGCGACATGGGAGGATTCAAACTAGTGTGTGGTTTGTGAAGAACCCATGAAAAACATACCCCCCGGATGAGTTTCCACGTGGCTACACGTTCTCAGGTATATAAATTCTTGATTCTTGGTAACAAGGCAGAGATTTTTCATGTAATTCTTTGTTTATTTCAGCTCGGTTTACCAACCCCAAGAAGACGAGCCGTTACAAGATGAAGAAGAAGAAGGCCAACCGTAAGAAGGCTTGGAAGTAGAAAGGCCTTTGGTACTCTCAACCTGTGATGCACTGCAATCCTTTTGTCTCTCTTTATGTGATACTAGTAATGAGTTGTTTTCTTTTAAGTAAAATAGACTTTGTAACTACCTTGCCCTTCTTGTAGACGAAGCTACCATCAATGGCTTTCAAGTTAATATACTTGGTGACATCGGTATGAATTAGGGTTTGAACAAGTAGACCATTAGCCATTATGAACTGCAGATCAAGAAACGAAAATCTCCATAAACCGATATATTCACGTACATATATGTACATATTCTGGTATTCACTTATAGAAATGTATATACCTTTGGGATCATATCGACATTGTATTCTCTGATAGCTCCAAGATTTTCTTGAGGAGTGTCACTTCCCCTGAAACGTTTCCATAGCTGAGTGAGGTTAAGAGAGGATGACTCTCCCCCATAGTAGTCGTTTCTATCCATATGCAGTACCTATTTACATCCGAACATACAAACAAAAAATGGGACAATGTTTATATATTTGAAAGATAAGCATATATACATTTGAATTGAAATTGGGAAGGAAAATACCTTGAGTCCAATCGACAGAGAGGAGACCACTAAGGATACCCTCCTTGAGACCAGTCCCAAGAACAATCACATCATACTCTTCATCCATTTTTTTGCAACCGATCTCTCTTATCAATCGTCTTTAATTCTTCTCTAATCTCCAACAGCTTTTGTTATATTAGAGGAACAAAGTATGTGGGTTAGAAAAGGAATTAGAGATGATGTGTGGCTGTTAATGTAAGAATATTTTATATTCATATATGACCTATGTATCTATTGGTTCAATATAAAGATCAAATTTATATTAATATTGATATTCTAATATAAAAGACCATATCATGATGGATCAGTTTCGATTAAAGTCATTAGAATTTGAGTGTATTGATAACCCTCCTCCCTTACCTTATTTGATTATGAATGACTTCTATAATATATGTGTGTGTGGCTGTACTTATAATATGTTAATCACATATAAAGTATTATTTATGCCTGAAAGAGTATAAAGGAAAAGGTGTGATAATTGAAAAGGCACAATAGCACATAACTATATATATACTTACGTATGGTGGTGGTTATAACCAAGAGAGAGGATATTGTCTTTTCTTATAAGTTTGTATCGGTAATAAAACAATTACGTAAGAGCACCCGTGACCACGGATTCTTAGGGGGAATCTTTAGGAAAATATTAATTTTATAATCAGTAGGTCTCATGAAAATTTAAGGATTTTATCCTTAAAATCTTTATTTAAGGATTGATCCTTACATTATTTGCAGGCTCCACTGACCACGTGGCGACCCGTGAATGGTAAATTTTAAAAAAAAAAAAAAAAAATCTGAAATATCTTTATATAATCCAAAATGTCTCTTTTTCTTTTTCCATAATAATTTTCCCTAAAGACCATTGTTACGCTCTAAGAACATGTATAAGTCACCGTGCGATAAGAAACGTGATTAGAAGGGTTTGGATTCCTTTGTCCATTAAAGAGAATCATAAAGGATTGAAGACCAAAGGAAGGAGAAAATAAATCTATGGAATTGATTCCAAAGCCTAACTAAGCATGGAACAAGGTTAGTATCTTCCTCTTCTCTAAGAAAACTATTAGGGTTGAATTAATGCAAATCTTGATAGAGAAGGTATGTCTTCTCATCAGTTTATTCGGGGGACCAAACACAAAGAGATACAAATGCTTATAAACAAAATAAGAAACTTTCAAAATAATATTAATTTATTTGGGGGACCAAAAATCAGGGGACATCAATGCCCATGGTCTTAGATACTATATTGGTTCTGATCAATTTTGGAGACTGTAGGCGATTTAGTAATTAGTATAGGTCTTAATATAACAAAAAAATTCAAGAGATTTTTTTAACAAATTTGAGAGTCTATTTTAATGTTTCACTTGGTGTTTTGCCCGCACTTGCGGGCATAATACTCGTATGAGTATTTATTAATATAAATTAGTTTTAATTATATAATCAATAATAAATAAAATTATAGAAATTCTGATAAATGATTAAAATTACCTAGGATCATGGAGACAAATCAACAAATTCACTTTTCAAATAATTATTTTAATGATTTATATTTAATTATGATTTATATTTAATTATTAATAATATAATTTTATATCTTAATTTTAAGTTTTATAATAGAAAAATATATTTTCAACATAACAACATAATCCATAATGATTATCTTGTTTAAAAAAATATTAAATTATTAATATAAATTCTTTTTAGTTATATTTAAATATTAAATTATTAATATAAATTCGTTTTAGATAAATATAATAGTTTTTATATCTTAATTTTTAATTTCAGTTTTATATATGAAAATTAAATATATCTCAACTAAATATAAATCGTAACTAAATATATCTTAATTTTAATTTTTATAATAGGAAAATATATTTTCACATAACAACATAATCCATAATGATTATCTTATTTTAGAAAAATATTAAATTATTAATATAAATTCGTTTTAGTTATATTTAAATATTAAATTAGTAATATAAATTTTTTTTAGATAAATATAATATTGTTTATATATTAATTTAAAATTTAAGTTTTATATATAAAAATTAAATATATCTTAATTAAATAACTAAATTAAGTTTTAGATATAAAAATTAAATATATCTTAATTAAATCATAACTAAATATATCTTAATTTTAAGTTTTAGAATAGGAAAATATATTTTCAACATAACAACATAATCCATAATGATTTTCTTATTTTAGAAATATTAAATTATTAATATAAATTCGTTTTAGTTATATTTAAATATTAAATTATTAATATAAATTTGTTTTAGATAAATATAATAATGTTTATATCTTAATTTAAAATTGAATTTTTATATATAAAATTATATTTCAAGATAACAACATAATTCACAAGAATTATCTTCTTTACTAAAAATATGATATATTCATATAAATTCGTTTTATTTATAAATAAAGTATATATAAATATTAAGAATATGATAAATAAACAAAATCACCTAAACTTATGGAGAACATGACAACTAAGCAAATCTACTTCTTAAATAATAGTATAGATAACTTATATATATACAAATTGTTAAAGAAATCTCCAAAATTTTACTATATTCAGAGACAACATATTTGGCAAAGGAATATTGTCCTAATTACAATGGTTGACCAAGAAAAAAAAAAGTTGAGATCAATTGAGTGACATTCATTGGTATGCTGTAGACCGCCCGGTTTAGGAAGGCCTGGTTAAAATGGCAAACATACCCCTAGACATTGTGTATAGAGAGTGTCTTGTTGGTCCACTAGCAAAGTAACACTGTTCTGTATTTACTCAAAGCAGAAGAGATAAACAGAGATATGGTAGTAGGCGGCGACGGCGATGATAACGGAGCGGAGGAGGATCGTTGGTTAGTTACATCGAAGAATCTTTTAGCCTCAAGTGACTTCAAGGGAGCAAAGACATTAGCTATCCACGCATGCGAAGAAGACTCGTCCCGTACACATGCAGCTGACTACATCATCGCCATCTCCGACACTCTCCTCGCCGGAGACTCCACCGTCGGAAGAGACTCAAAACTACCAGACTGGTACGCTGTACTCCGTCTCGACAAGCTAACTCAAAACCTCGAACACATCGCCGTTCAGTACCGTAGACTCGCTCTCCTCCTAAACCCTACTGTTAACCGTCTCCCTTTCGCTGATCAAGCGCTTAAGCTCGTCTCTGACGCTTGGTGCGTCCTCTCTAATGGTTCAAGAAAGTCAATATACGACCGAGAGTTGCAGCTGAGTCAGCTCGGTCAACGTTGTAGTCAACCGGAGGAGTTTAAGTGCCGAGAGGAGAGTAAAGATGAGACCTCGGAGAAGAATCATAAGGAGGCTGCGACGAGTTTTTGGACGGCTTGTCCGTACTGTTATGCTCTTTTTGAGTATGCTAAGGGTTATGAAGAATGTGTGTTGAGGTGTCAGCAATGTGGGAGAGCGTTTGAAGCGGTTAAGACGGAGACGCCACCTGTGGAGAGTAATGGGGAAGGGGTTTACTTTTTCTGTTCGTGGGCTATGTTCCCTGTAGGGTTTTTAGGTGAGGCTAAAAGGTGTGATTCTGGTTGGTCGCCAGTGTCACATTTATTCCACTGCCCTGTGCAACGCCCTTCTGATCATCAAGAAACACCTGCTCCAAGAAACTATCATGATGAGTTATATATAACAATATCTGATGATGATGAAGAGAGAGATGATGCAAAGAAAAGTAGGAAAGGAGGATGATATTGAAGGGAGTGGGTTTGCTGAGGAACTTGATGATGAGTTGTTGAAATTTCTGTTAAAACTTTTGTCTTGTTGCAGCTGATAAGGTCAAGACTACTTGGTGAAAGTAAGATCTTTTTGTATGCCCCTTGTTTTGTTTTGTGGTTGTTTAGGTTGTAGTTTGTATTGCTAGTAGTTCAAAATGATGTAGTTTTGATTCGTTTGTGGAATCATTGTACATGTAATATAGTTGACGTATTTTGAAGCGTGAAATGCGCTTTTGGTAATGTAATCTTATGTATCATATCCGAAAAAAGGTTGCAGATTATATGGTTGCTATGGACGTCTGACTAAGGTATCAACACTTGTTTTCTCAGACTTTAATCTGCTCAGGCATGTTTAGTTCGTTTTGGCTATATTTTATTGAAAGAAAGTTGTTACCGGCTGAAGTTATACCCAAACCTGTAACTTTTCTTTTGTAGATATGTCTGAAGATCAAATATTAAACAAACATTGTACTTCAGTGACTTTGATTACACATAGCATAACCTACACACAACGACAAAGGATCTACGTCGTCGTGTAGATTACCGGCCTAGACCTAAACATTGTTTTCTTTCTTTCTTTAATCAGAACCTCCGTTTTCATACTTAAAATTTATGGCATTTATGTGCAAAATTTTCATCTTGGAACTAGTTTTGATTCATCAGAATCAACACAACTGACTAGATATTTGCAAGAGTTTGTTGACCAAGCCTCAATCTTGATTGGTTTGTTAGTAATTTTTAAAAAACTCGGTATAGTTGATGATTTGTTTTTCAAGATTGTGTTCTTAGGGATCTGCAAAGTTTAAACCCTTTTTAAAGATAGACGTGTAACAAAAGCATGAACACGTAAACACCAGGACCTAAAAGTCAACTAGATTGAAAATGACAATATGTAGATATACAGATAGAGAGGTTAAACGAACTTTTTGAATTTTATAGATTTTTCCCACCAAACTCATCTTCCTTCTTACTCCAAACACCTTTAAATAGCCATTCAAATCAAAGACCAAAAACTCATCAAAACCAAAAACAAACACATCAAAGCAAAAAGAAGAAGAAGAAGAAGAAGAAAGCAAAAACTTTCCAAGCAACCAAGCAGAACCATGGCACTAATGAAGAAGAGTCTCTTTTCTCTTCTCCTCTCATCACCACTTCTTATCATCTGTCTTATCACATTGCTCACTGATCCGGTTTCAGTCAGTGCTCGCCGGTTAGTCGAGGAGATTCCTAAACCGGAGATACCCAAATTACCTGAACTACCTCACATGGAGATACCAAAATTACCCGAACTACCTCACCCGGAGATACCAAAATTAGCCGAACTACCTCACCCAGAGCTACCAAAATTACCCGAACTACCTCACCCGGAGCTACCAAAGTTGCCTGAGCTACCTCACCCGGAGCTACCAAAGTTCCCTGAGCTACCTCACCCAGAGCTACCAAAATTCGAAGTGCCTAAATTCCCGGAGCTCCCTAAACCAGAGATGCCCAAGTTACCTGAATTCCCAAAGATTCCAGAGATTCCAAAGCATGAGGGGACTAAGTTAATGGAGACTCCCAAGCCTGAAGCTCCTAAGTTGCCGGAGATTCCAAAACCCGAGTTACCAAAGGTGCCGGAAGTTCAGAAGCCTGAGCTACCAAAAATGCAGGAGATTCAGAAACCGGAACTTCCAAAGTTTCCGGAGCTACCTAAGGTGCCAGAGGTTCCTAAGCCGGAATTGCCAAAGATCCCAGAGATTCAAAAGCCTGAGGCTCCTAAGTTGTCGGAGTTTCCTAAGATGCAGGAGGTTCAGAAGCCAGAGTTGCCTAAATTGCCAGAGATTCAGAAACCTGAGCTTCCGAAGATTCCAGAGATTCCAAAACCAAAGCTACCGAAGATGCCTGAAGTGCCAAAATTCCCAAAAGCTCCCGGAGCTAACTAAGTTTAGTGAGGCTATATAAAGGCCCATTTACTTGGCCCCTCACCGTATCACCCTTATCTTGTTTGTCATCACATCATCGCATTTCCTTACTGAACCGTATCGCTATGGTTTGTTTAATATTATAGCATACGACTTTTTTTCCTTTTTATATTTTTCCTACACTTGTATTCTGTTATATATTTGTATTGTATGTTTCATACATATTAATTTATTTGTATTTCATATACTCTTTGAATGATTTGTGTTACTTATCTATGATAATCGTTTTGTCTAAAACCTATTGTCCACGAGTTCGAATAATTAATACGGGCCAAGTTTATGAATATCGATTCTATATATCAGAACCGACGAAGATGCTTTAGATTTATTAAATGGAACGTGGTTAAACGGGAAAAAGAGGAAGTAGTGAGAACACATTTAAAGATCATGGTGATTATGCCTGAAATGATGTGAAGCATCTTTGGTGTGTACAACGAAAAAACGTTTAACCAGATGGAGATGAAACCGGAGATGATTATACGTTGCGGAGCTCTCAAAATCTTGCAAACCGGTTAAGCATGGTAACTAAACCTGGTAAAAGTGCCACATAGTCCTCTAGGTTAGTTTGGGCATCAGATTATATTCGGTTAGTTACGATTTTTAAATTTTCACTACTACTAGTAGTAAGTCTCATTTGATTTTTACTAATTTACGGGTAGGGCTCGATCGGTTCCTTTCGAATTGGGATCGCATTATAACTTATGTATGGATCACCCAAAAATATATTTAAATAAACTGAAATAATTAACAAAATTCAGAATATATAAATTATTCAAAAAAAATTAAAAACTAGTTAAGTCTAAAATAATTAAAACTTATACAAAATAATAAATAAAAGAAACTACATAAATTTTTAAAATACTTTAAAATATCTAAATTACCTTAATATATATGAAAACATTAATATTTTTAATTCATTTTAAATATTTCAGATCCTAATTCTAATTTTGATCCAGTTCAAATTGTACCGTTTGAACTCTAAAGTACTAATCTATTAAAATTTGTTTGGATATTTTTGTATAATGGTTCGATTGGGATATCGAGTTTTCGGTTCGAATTGAGGTCGAGATTTATATTTGAGTTAAAAACGCTTAGGCCTACTCTCTAAGTCTAAAGTAAATCCTTACAACAAGACTTCATGCTGTTTTTTTTACCATGTCGTCTTTTATTCTCCTTATTCACATCTGTTACAATCGTTTTGGTGAATTTCTTTTAAATAACATCATGGGTTTTAGACCTTAACAATTTAAAATTTTGTTGATTTTCTCCTCATATATATAGCATATATTTTACTAATTGGATTTTTAAAATTGATGGAGGAGCCTTTATATTTTCTTTTGTTTCTATCTAGTTTTGACTAGATATATAGGTGAGATTGATCTATCCATTACACAAGTTTTCTTGTCATGTTTAATGTTTATAACTTGAACAGGTAGGGATTTAAGTTCTCAACTAATTAAACTTATAGAGTTTTATATATCCTTTATATACTAAAGCATAAGTCACATGACCAATCAAATTGGGGCATATATATATGTCATGTGATATAAAATTTAAAGAAAAATTTTAAAGCAACAAAATTAAAAACGAAAAACAGTTTCATTTCTTAACAATTTCTATGTATTGTTTTATTTAAAACCCTCTAATATCTCTCCCACTACACCCATCATCATCTCACCTCACGTATCAAAACTACCTTTCTCAATATTTACACAAATATAAATGTTGACATAGAAGAATAGCTTTTGATAAAAGGTAAACAGTTTCCACTATTTCACTACGAAAAGATAATATTGCAAAACTGTTTTTACAGTAAATTTTACATAAAGGATAGATTGAAAACATCATTCAATATATTATGGTGAGAAGTTTTTTTTCTCTATAACTTTACTGTTTCAGTTTAAATATTATAAAAGAAAATTGGTTCATGTACAATTGTAAAGGCGAGATAAACATCAAACGTTTAACAGAGCAAAATCAGTGGTACCATAGGATGACAGGAGACAAAATTAACAAGAGTATATATTAGCAGTTTGATGTTTATATTACTGCAATCTTTTCAATATACAATGTTTTCTATAAAATGTTTGATATATCAAAATACATTATAATAAATAAATTATTTGTCAATCTACTGCATCCTCTTAACTACTAGAACTAATAGGCCGTTAAAAAAAAAATCAAATTCGTAAATAATTTTAGATGTTTTCTAAGGTAAATTTTGGAAGTCTTTTGGATATACTTAATTTTATAGAATGGTTGAAAATATGGAATTTGGAAAGATCATAATGCTTCTCCTTTTTGTGTGTTCTTCAAAATAAAGTGTAACTATCTATCTATATTATATTTGTAAAAAAAATATTCCCATGCAAAGCATGGGGACAATACTAGTATAAGAAGTAAAGTTAAAAAGAAAATATAGGTGAGTTTGTTGAAGACTAACTTCGCATTCCTATTCTCGTCTCTTTTATGTTTTTTCTTGTTTTTATTTCGTTGTCCTTTTTGTTTGCTAAGCCTGTTTTTGCTGCTAGAGTTGGTCGATCCCTGGTCCAAGAAGAGGTCACAAAAATATCACAATATAATAAGCTTGAGGAGACGGAGATTCCAGGAGAGCCAGAGGAGCCGGAGATTCCAGAAGAGCCTGAGGAGCCGGAGGATCCAGATGAGCCTGAGGAACCGGAGATTCCAGAAAAGCCCGAGGTCCCTGAGCTTCCTGAGGAACCAGAGGAGCCACCAAAGGAGTCAGAAGAAGGGAGTTTTGAATTTCCCTCGTGGATCCCGAGCTTCCCTTTTCCCGGTGCTAACGACGGTTTTCCGAAGACTGAAAAGACAAAACCTACGGCAACCACAAGTGTTTCTGAGGAAGCCTCTAGTAGTTCGAGCAAGAAGCCATAGATCAACGGCTGTATAACATTTATAAGACATCTATATATACTGCATGCTCTTGCTTGATTAATGATAAATAAAAGTATATATGTAATAATTGTTTGTGTTTGTATTTATGTAAGACGAGTGAGTCACCAAATGCTTCGTTCTTAAATTTGTACGAGTGAGTCACCAAATGCTTCGTTCTTAAATTTGTATACATAGTGAAACCTCTATTAATAATGTTGGAATTACACCAAAATTTTATTTTTATTAATTTAGAGAGATATTAATTTATCGATATACTAATCGAACCAAAAACTCAATTTGAGACTATAAAATTATATTATTTTATAGAGATATTTAGTGTATTTTAATTTATCAAATACTAATTCATAGAGGTTCTACTGTACTAGGGTTTAGCATGCCCGTAGTATGTGAAAGAATTACATACTATATTAACAATTTTATTGAATATTTAAAATTAATTCATTTACTTCAAATTGAAAGTAATCTCTATTTTCAATATGTATTACATTAGATCATCTATAAATCAATACTCAATAAATTAATAATCTCTTTAAATTAATAAATTTTACCGGTTTCAATTTGGACTGATTCAAAATTTAACACAAATCGATAAAGTAATAAAATAATATTTAAAAACAAATTCTATGCAAATATATGCCCCCTTAAATTAAAATTAATAATTTCTATATATACACTAGTGAAACTTTTATGAACTTTTCTTTGGGCTGAAAAGTCTCATTTCGCCCAACAGCTAAACCAGCTCCATCTTCAGTGTCGATTAGCTCACTCGTCTCCAAAGTAATGTAACTTAGATAACTTAGCTCATCCAGCTCCAATGTAGTGTCGATCCAGCTCACTTGAATGTGCACATGACTGAATCGTGAGAACTGAAAAACTTCTGATTTGTAAATGACATAACTCTCACATATGAACTCTGTTTGATCTGAATCTTCTTTGAGGAGCTCCGTAATTGAGTTTAGCATTTTCTCCAAGTGATTTCATGCATATAAGACTCGTGTTTCAGAAGATATGAGTCAGACAGTGAACATATATCTTTACTGCTTTCCATGATCGAGCAATGTATGTCTATTTTGCCTGGTACTCTACCTAAGGGCGCATCATTCCCTCCCTCTTGAAAAGGATTTGACCTCAAATCCATTTTACATGTATCAAAAGGAAATGATTCAGACAAAAGGAATTTAAAGATCATGTAAAATTCAATGAAGGAAAATTTGGAAAGAAGTTTCCTTGGAGTTTTAAAGTCGTTTTTTCTCAAATACTTCCAGTTCCATGTCCCTAATACATAAGACCTTTATTTTTCTCCTGTGATCGCTCTCCTTAGGAGTTGATCATGCTTATCCTGTACTTCCAAAACAACTACAGAAACCACATTAATCTGCGAAGGAAATAATCAAAGGGTTTTTCTATCCTTAAGACATCAAAAACAGGATCCAAGCTCTTAGGATAATCATCAAGCACGTGGGTAAACATCAAGCAAGTAAACTGAGTGCCAGGAACTAGTTTACTTGTTTTAAAATCAAGCAAAGCTTTGATACTGATAAGAAAAGAATGAGAAAGTGCCAACTTTGAAAACTTATCAACATGAACGAAATCAAATTGATTCTATGGTCTAAGCAGTTTTGGTTCATGCCTTTTCCTAATCCAAATTTCTTTCAATGCTAGCCCAATGAAAACAATTCATGAAAAAATTTAAGCAAAACTTTTTTCAACCAAGTAAAGATCTGGTTTTGCTTAGAAATTCTCGATTTCAAAACATTTTCATGCTGAGAAGAGACAAACAACTAATGTTCCTTACAGTGCTTTTGGATTTCACAAGGAATTGACTGAGAAAACACATTTGGTTCATTGAGGATCGCCAGCTCCAACTGTTTTCCTTGTGGTGAACTCTTTGCTGCCTCTTTTGTTGGGTTTTCTTTCAACCTGTTAGAAAGAAACAAGACTACTCGGCTATACCGTTTCGAGATGGTTAAATACAGCACAAGTCTGTTATCTTAGAAGCACAACACCAGAATGAGAATAAAAAGAACACTTAGCTACCAAGGCATTTCTCTGAATGGGTTGTGGCTCCATGGTTTGGAATTCAGCCGGATCTTTCCTCTTGCTTAAGTGTTGCTGATCTTGCTGAGGTTCTAATGGAGGCCAAGGAACTGAGATGGCGTGCTTACCTCTGAACAGGAATGATAACCAGATGGAGAATCCATGGAAAGTAACTTGGCTAAATGATGAAGGTTGTGCTGTCTTTGGTCTAGCAGGTTTCTGCTTAGGGTAAATTGGCTTTTGGTTCACTGGATCTGATCCAGAGAATGGAAACGTGTATGTGCTCTTTCTGCAACTCTCCTCCACGGCCTGAAGTGTTGGAAACAACCTGAACCAATCATCAAGCTATCTAGGCCGTTGAAAACTCATGGAATCATCACTCCTACCAGCATGAACTGATCAATTTCTTGAGTTGAAGCTCCAAATCTCAGGCTGATGAACAAGAACAATGCTTTCACGTTTCTGAGGCTGAATTTGTTTATTATGGACACTCAAAACAGAAACTAAAAGACCATGGTCATATGTGCAAGACAAGTACTTGTTCAATTCAAAAATCAAAATCTCTTTTGTAAGAACAAGTAGCACACATTTCAGCATTTCAAGATGCTCATCAAGGTAGACATTACAGACCATAATTTTATCAAGACATGCAACAATATTAGTCATTTTCAGAACGTGCATATCCTTCTCAATATCTGAACACAAAAGAGAAGTTCAGATTGAGAAACATTTATCAAATGCTCAAGACGTTTCTCAAAAAAAAGTGTTGTGAACCACAATACCATCAAAGCTCAAGACAACACAATTATCAAGAAATGAATTCATAAAATGCCAATTTTTATCAGTTTCAGAACTCAAGAGGCCAGGCTTCAAAATAAAATCACAAAAATCAATTTCAGTTCCAAGTGACTTATTTTCCAGCAGCTTCTTAATCAAGAATCCGTCCAAGGCACAAGAGGATGCAAAAAAATCACCAGTGATCAGTGCATGTCTAGGAAAACTCAGATTAAAATCATTTCCATTGAAAAAAACGACTCAAAAGATTTTCTAGCACATAAATCGGTTTGTTGCAAATTAAGATCAAGTGACTTTTCAAGATGATGAAAACCTTTGCTATGTTTCAAAAACTGATAAAAGCTCAAAATAATTCTAGAATTGATGTCAATGCCTTTTTGAAAACATTGTTGATCAAGAAGTTCATCAGGTTTAAATATTTTGAAAGAATTAATCATGTTTTCAAAAACAGATTTTGAACACAAAATATTTTCATCTTGTCAAGACAAAAACGAATCACATCATGAGAATTGATCTTGACAAACATATCAGGTAGAGAATTAAGCAAATCAGATTTCTCACAGTGCTTTTGAAGATCATGAGACAAAGGGATAGGAGTTGTGCCGGGATCAAAGCAAAGATGTCTTTCCACAACGATGGATGTGAGGCTTGTTGCTTCTTCATCAAAGATTGGGCCAGGTTCGTCCTCCTCATCAAAGACAAGTCTAGGTCCTCATCCAAGGGGTTCCTAGTCTCAAGACGTGGTGCTTGATGTGGATAGTTCAGTGGCTTTTCCTCAAAAACCTGTTGAGACAAAACAAGACTACTCGGATGCTCCGGCTGCAAAACGGCCAGTTTTACAATTGTCTGTTCATTATCATTCATAAACTCTGATTCAAGAGAATAAAAATCACAATTTTTCTCACAAAAAAAAGCTTTCAAAAGGCTCTTCATCAGATTAATCAAAGATGGGTAAAGAATCTAAAAAATCTTTAAACTCTTCAACATGGGTTTCAGATTTACCTTTAGGTTTTTCATTGATGAACAATGATGGCTCAGCTACAGGTGCACGTGTGGAGGTGCTCTTCTTATGGCTATTTCTGATGTCCTTGAGGGCTTTCATCATTCCCTTCTCAAAGTTGTCATAGATTTCTTGGACATCAAACTGAAGTAATCGCCTTTTTGGATCAGTCACATTTTTGGTCGTTTTGATTTGCTCTTTGCACTTTCGGTTTCGTTTTTCGTGCACACTTACAAACTCCTCAAAATTATTCAGAGAATATTTAAATGAATATTGAGAGACAGTTTGTCGTGGGGATTTCTCCTTGATACTTCTCCGGTGAAGACCAAACATCTTATTCCTGAGATAATTACTCAACACAAAAGTTTAGATAAAACCTCACACTCTCAAATGTTTAATCTCATCCACTCAAGTGTTTCTCTCAGATTTATGGTGATCACACAAAGAGTCCCCTCTCAAAGTTCTAAGAGAACAAATCAAGTAACCATATGGATTTCTCCAAGCAAACAAGAGATGAACACAAGATAGAAAGATAAGAGAATTGGTTTTGAAATCCGTATTAACCACTCCAAGGCTGGATTTCTCCTCAGCCATCAGGATTTCTATTCCACCACCTACCAAATAAAATCAGATCTTTTGTTTCTTTTTTTTGATAGTTTTTTTTCTTTTCTTTTCTTTTCTTTTTTTTTATAGAAGAATGGCTATAGGTAAGGTAGTGGCCCGGATTTGAGATAAAAAGAAGAAGAAGTGTTTAGAAAATAGAAGATGAGAAGATAAAATAATAGCACCGGTTGAGTGGCTCTGATACCACTTGATACACCTTAAATCAGGAAAGATCACTCAAACAGACTGAAGGGAGAACTGGTGGACTGAACAGTGACACAAAGGGTTGCGGATGGCCCAATGATACTACCAGACTTTGATCTTTGCCAGATGTGACGCACCGGTCCAACAAAAGAAGGATCAAAACTTGAAGATAACCTCACCAAGAAACTAAGAAATGTTCTACAAAGAACAAAGAGTGATAAACTCATAAAAAGGAAAAACAATCTGATTTATTTCGTGGCTCTTAGGCCTTATTTATAGGATTACAAGTTGTAGAAATCCAAAGAAGAATGTGCTAAAAACAAGACATTGAAAATAAAAACAAAGACTTGACTAAATAAAGTATTTGACTGAAACTTGGACTGCCTCTTGATATAGCCACGAACAGGACTTATTTGTTGACTCCCTCTTGGTATTCTTGATGAGAATGGACTTGAAATAGACTGAGGAAAGGGTTGGTCGAATTTGGAGTAAAACAAACCCATAATGAAACTTTTCTAAACTTTTCTTTGGGCTGAAAAGTCTCATTTCGTCCAGCAGCTAAACCAGCTCATCTTCAGTGTCGCTTAGCTCACTCAGCTCCAAAGTAATGTCACTTAGCTCACTTAGCTCATTCAGTTCCAAAATAGTGTCGGTCCAACTCACTTGAATGTGCACATAACTGAATTCGCGAGAACTAAAAAACCTCTGATTTTTGTAAATGACATAACTCTCACATCTGAACTCTGTTTGATCTGATTCTTCTTTGAGGAGCTACGTAATTGAGTTGAGAAATTCTCCAAGTGATTTCATGCATAGAAGACTTGTGATTCGGAAGATATGAGTCAAACAATTAACATATATCTTTACTGCTTTCCATGATCGAGCCATGTATGTCTATTTTGCCTGGTGTTCTACCCAAGGGTGCATCAAACCCTCTAAGTTCTAGTCAAACCGTAATATAACATTCGGCTGTGTATATGTGTATTTGAATGTGTATAGTTTTAACATATATCAATACTACATTGTTTTAGCAGTAAGTTTTAATGAAAAACAATTGTACACACCAGGGTTCGAACCTTGAACCTTATACACAATATGTATGCTGCATAATCATTTCAGCCAACAAGTATATTTGTTCACTTAACAAACGCAATAATATTCATATATATGTCTAAATTCATTCTGAAATGATTTTTTTTCCTTTGGACATGGGATCTTGCGTAACTACAATAGAACTTCTATAAATTAATACTCAATAAATAAATAATCTCTATAAATTAATAAATTTCACCGGTTCCAACTTTAGCCGGTTCAAAATTTGACAGAAATCGATAAAATACTAAGATAATAGTTTTTTTAGAAAATACTATGTAAATATATAGTCCCATTAAAATTATAAATTAATAATTCATATGTATACATATTTATATAAGTAAGAACCTATAGTTATATTTTTTTTGTTTTATATTCACAATGACATTATCTTTATATTTTCTTAACATTTAATATAATTTTTATGAGATTAGTAATATTATATCTAAAACCACATTTAAATCCGATACAATATATTTTATATACATCAACTAATATAATAAAATTAATATAAAGTTCAAATTTTTAAAAATAATAATTAATGTCTATACATTAAAATCAAATATTTTTTATCTTAAAATAAAATATTTTAAAATAAAAAATCTAAAGAAAGAAATTTTTGTAAATTAAAAAAAATTAAAGCTCCAACATTATTAGTTTATAGATGTTTTACTGTATAAGTAATGAGAATCCAAAAAACAAATGTTTGAGTAACATACCAAGGATGACCTCACATTCATTACACAAGCTCTCATGTCGAAAGAAAAAAGAAGAAACAAAGTTATTTTGGAATGAATTTAGAATATATAAAATTGCTTTTGTTAAATGAACAAACATATCTGTTGGCTGAAATGGTTATGTAGCATTCTTATTGTGTATAAGGTTCAAGGTTTGAACCCTGGTTTCTATTATTTTTTCATTACAAAGTTATGGTTATATTGAAAAATGACGTAGTATTGAAAAATGTTAAAATTATACACATTCAAATACACATATATACGACCGAGGGTTATATTACAGTTTGACCGACACTTGGAGGATTGACCTGTGGATTTTTGACTTCACAGATTAATTTGCAAAAAAAAAACACATTGAGATATTTTTTGCAAAAAACCCTTTATATGATTAGAAACCAGATTTATTAAAACATAATATATATTCCATACTCTAATTTAGATATAATATCTTCTTTTTCATTTTTACTATTAAAAAGAAATATTTTTTAATATTATAAGATTATTAATAACTATTTTTTAACACAAATATTTATCAATAAAAATATGTTTTAACTACAAATATAATATTAATAAATCATCATGTATATATTATTAATTTTATTATAAATTTTCATAGAAGTATATTAATATATTTTAATTAATCGATTTCTTTGGTTTATTCGGTTTGATCGGTTTATATACCAAACCATATACATATACCGGGTTTTCTTAATATTAACTCCATTCGGTTTATTCGGTATTACCAAATCCAAACCATTTTTTTATTTCGGTTTAATTTTAGTTGGTTTGGTTTTACCGGATTGAACATCCCCTAAAATTTAACTATATCATTTCTCATAGGTGTGCCCCGATGCCACTCTCATATAGGTAACTTTAATTAAAGATGATCTGTTATATTTCTCTTCTAGAAAATATATTAACATTATTAAAAATCAATTTATTCAAGCCTTGATCATCACTAGATATACATTGTTATTTCATAGGAATGAGAAATGTGTAAAATACAGTCTTGAGTCTTCCTCAACTAGTTTGCATACTGAACCTAGACCATGGGATCTCCAATGTTTCTAGGTTAGGTTTCGGTCAAGTGATGACATTGTGTTGGCTTGAGACTCATTCCCCCTCAAAGTGAATACGACTTGTTGTTTAGGTAGGCTTTTAATCAAAGGATCAGACAAACTTTCATTTGATCTAATATAATCCAATGCTATCATCCCATTGGAAAGCAATTGTTATATTGATGCATGTCTATGTTTTATATGTCTTGATCTCAAAATTACATTTGAAAGCAATTTTTAACTAACTCATTGTACTGTTTTTCCGAAGTGGGAGAATTTGATCTCAAAACTACATTTTACAAGACATCAGTTTCTTTGCTTCAAGCATCATAATTTGACGGTAGGGGCCGGTTATAGTTCAAACAATATCATTTTACCATGGAATTTTTATTACATAGCCAAATATACATTAAAAACCTTAAAATAAATCTCGTATAATCTTCAAGTGATTGATTTGGCATTAGGCCATGTGCAACTAAACGCATAACGTCTAATGCAGTTTCGAACATTAGATAAAAATGACACAGACACCTCTGTACATGTGGCTTAAACCAGCTGTTTTGGTCTCTGTGTACTGGATTATAAGTAATTTTAATGTGGCAAAGTGTAACAGTATGGTTCTATGGTGTAGTGGTTAGCACTCTGGACTTTGAATCCAGCGACCTGGGTCCGACTCCCGGTAGGACCTTTCAAAAAACCATTTTATCTTTTGAAAAACAAAAAACGAAGCAATGTCATTCAGAAACCCATGAATCCATGTCTCCTGCAAGAGCATTCGCCTTTGGAGACGACAAGGAAAAAAGCATGTACGACATCCCAAAGTGATTCTTCACATTCCCTTCATGTAGTTACGTGATGAAGTTATCAGATTCCCTCAAACTTATAAAAATGATAGTTCTGAGAATGGTAGTTGTTTTCTTTCGATTACATTAATCTTATGTTTTGACCAAGGAAGTGATGAAGCTAGTGAAACGAACGAGAAAGTTCTCAATCTTATAGGGCAATGCTATATATGATTTTCGTAGACATGACACTCACTCACTCACTATATATGTATCCAAAATGAAGGTTAAAAAAGCCTAGTAAAAACCGTCTTCTTAATAATATTTCAAGGCTTCATCCATTCCTTCAACAGCATCTTCTTCTTCCCTGCTATAAACGTCTCCACCGTCGATCTAAACTCATCACTGCTCAGATCATCGATCTCGCACAACCGTCTCATGCTCCGACTAAAATCTCCTCGCACGTCAAGCCTCTCCGATCTCGACCTCCTGTAAACCTGATGATCACTAGTACTCTCAGTTGCCACTGGGGGTAGAAACGTCATATCATGCTTCCTTCTCACAGCATGAGCTGTCTCCGCCACGGAACTGATTGCCCGGACCATCTCTCGCTTCATCGGTCGAGCCTCTTCGGCAGTTAGTGTAACGGAGGTTATGTTCGTCCCTGACGTTATTATACCTGATGTTTTTTCTTCATTATCAGACGCCGGGCATTCAGAGACTACGACGGAGGAGGAAGAACAACCTCCCGGAGGAGTAGTGGCGGAGGAGAAACCCCCGAGAGTAGTGGTAGTTGCGGAGGAAGAAACGTACTGAAAGTACAGATCAGGTTCGGTTACTTTTTGGTGGTGGTTAGATAAGGAGAAAATTATGCCGATGAGAACGTTCACGACGACGAATATGAATATTCCGCCGCTCAAACCACCGGAAATAATCCGCCGGAGATATTCACCGACGGAAAGAGACGGAGACAACCAAGAGACAAGAAGTAACACGGCGACAAGAGCTTCAATCACTGGAAGAAACTTCCACAAGTTTCTTGTTCTCTCGAACCTCCTCATGGCGTCAACTTTCTCAGCCGCAACATTTTCGGAAATAAAGGAAGACATGTTTTTGGAACACACTCTTTGTAACTCCGGTTCGTTCCGGAAATAAACTTTTTTAGTAAAGTGGATGGATGATCACTTTGACTTGTCTTATCACTAATCGAACAATTAGTTGGATTTATATAAGAGACTCTCTATAATTGGTTGAATTATTGAAACCAATGGATATATCATCTATTTGTTTATAGGTTGGTCGTGGAAATTTCATGACTACAAGCATTAGGTGAATAAGTCCAACTCCAGAAGAAAAAGAATTGATCGCATTATTGGGGACAAGCTGAATAAAGTGATATATAAATAACATATAAAAAGTAAAGAATGGTTGGAACGAGTTGGCGAGTAATAAAAGAGCAGGTGAAGTGAAGCTGCATTGCACAGCAACGACCGGGCCAATGTAAGCACGCTTGGGCGACGTACACCGCATATTTGACACGTGTTTAATTTTATTTTATTCTGGTAATGACTACCCATATTATATTTGTTTGTACTCTTCAAACTACTACATTCATTGTACGTTTATTTAAAAGTAATAGAGTACCAGTGACTAGATTCATCATTTGATAAATTTTGTTGCATTTTTTTTTTTTGAAATAATTGGGTATGAGCGACAAGATTCATAAGAGAAACTTCTTACATTGTTTTTTGGATAAAAGAGTTCGTGTCTAGATTTTCATTTTGGAAGTAAGATTTCAGTTATGGAGGTCGAATTAGTTGCGTGTGTTGGGTCTGTAAGACGTATATAAGTTTGATGCCAGTTTAAAATTGTAGGCTCTAAAAACATATCAAATCCTAAAAATGTGAATACCACATGTAAGGAAAACAATTATGAAGCAAAGTTGTTTATCTATTCACAATACCTTTCAGGATTTGGATGATGTCCCTGCCATTGAGGGTATGGTGGATGAATATTTTTCTGCCAAAGAGGGTCTCTATGATGTTGATGCGCACAAGGTAGGTTACTCTCTTATTTGTCATAAAAGTTTGAAGCGAAGTTCACTACAAGAAAATCTGTATATACCCACAAATCAGCTACAAAAAATTTGTAGTTCAAGTTTATAAGCTACAAATAGCCACAAATAGCAACAAACTAAAATTTGTGGCTATTACGTAGATGTTTGTGGCTAGATAGTTACAAATTATACTTTGTGGCTACTTGAAGAAGAAAAAAACCACGATTAGCCACAATTTGTTTTGTAGAAATTAATACGTGCTGTTAGCTACGATAGCAATTGTGGAAAGTAAGAAGACACAACATGATTTGTGGCTATTTGTATAAAAGTGAAACCACAAACATACTCTAAACCCTAAATTTTTAATTTTAAAACTTAATCTAAACCATGTTATGAGTTTTGAATCTTAATTAAGTTTTGCACATTAAAAAAGGTTTTAACCCTTATATTTTATACCTAAAAAGATAAATCAAAAGTTACAAAATTAAAATGGATATACTTAAGATGTTTCACAAGTAAAATAAAACTAAATACAATATCTATATAAGCTTTTAAATGCATATAAAAGAAATTATGAACATAAAAGAAAGACTAAAGAGTACTAGTTTCTATTGGTCACTCACATATATGACATGAGCAATGTATGTATTTAGAGTATATAAACACTCTATATGTATTAGAGTACAACACTTATAATTTGTGTTTTCAGCAGTGATATTCCTCTTACCTACTTTGATAAGTGTAGAATTATAATATCTTATTCAGTTTTCATTGATTAATTTGTTGAGGTTTAGATTCAATGATGTTTAGCTAGAGTATTATATCTTAACCCTTATAGCTATAATTTAATTTAGTATAGATTAAAATGATAATATATCAAATTCAATATAGCTACAAATAACTGCATATTATGCCGTGGCTATATAAAAATCAGAAATTTAACACAAAATTTTTCATTCCCACTTGCCTTTTTCTCATTTTCCAGGCTAAAGCATTTCCCAGGCAAACAAATTTATTTAATTATAGAAATACAAATACTTTTTTACTTATTTTTAACTCTCACTTTGTTTCTTCCGCCTCCTCTGTATATTGTATTGGATCTTCTCTCTTTAACGTTCTAATATAGTTGTTGCTTCCTACTTCGTGTTTATAGTAAGTTGTTTCTCTCTTTCATTCACTCTTCTGATTGGAACTGATTCACCCTTTTGTTTCTTGCCTTCGTCTCAATTTGACTTCGATTGCAGATGAATCTCCTAGGCATCAAACTTAACCGAAGGCGTCAATCTTAAAATCGCTTACTTCATGGCTCAGTTCCATAGCTTACCATCTGATTGTAATTTATTCGCTTTTTAGGTTAGGTTCTGTCTCTGAGAGTTTTGTTTATAACTCATATTTAGATTAGTGAAATTGAGGTTTAAATAAAATATTTGTTTGGTTCTTAATGCAACAAGAGAATCTGGAACCCTTGATTTTATTTCATTTTGAATGGTGCTTGATTTGTGACTTGACGAGTCATTAGATAAAAAGATGAATCTTACTCACTTCATGTTTCCATGGTAATAGGTTTGTGCAAACCATATCAAGGAGAAAACTTGGAAGAAGCTGTCTAAGCAGCAGTATGTTCTAGACTCTCTTGTTTTTTACAACTGTTCTAGACTCTCTATGTTTTCTATTCGTTCTCACCTACTTACCAACTTGTCTGTTTCTATGTTCAGAATTCCTATCAAATCAAGCTTCTATCTTCGTAAAAGGACATGATATATGAATCCAAGTAGCAGGAGTCATTTGTGCAGTTCTCTAGTGCTAAGGAAATTCAAATGATGCTGGAGATTGCGGTGGCATCCCTGAGTTTAATGCTTAATAATTTCGCTGCATTTGGTAAGATAAAAAAAAAACAAAATATGCAATAACTAGTAACTGATTACTTGATTATCATTTTTCTGCTTAATGACTAAAGATTGGTACTTTTGCAATGATATGATAGTAGAAAAGATGGCTGAGGAGTTTGTGGAGATGTTCAAACTCGAAGTAATGCAAAAGGTAGGTACATTCTCCCAACGCATTCTGCATATAATCTTTAGGCTACCGATTAGCTTCTGATTATTTTGATTTACAACACTAACATAGGGCGACCTTAGGAGGGGCCATATTTGTTCCTGAAGTCGCAATACTTTCAAGTAGCAAAGAAGAAACGTTATTGATTGATATCAGTGATGACGAAGAAACAAGTCTTGAAGGAGATCAATCAGTTTGGGTATAAGAGATGAGTGTTACGTAGACAAATCAAACCTTTGGTCAAGCTTGATACGGGTAAGAGACCAGGAGCAAATAGATACCGTGCACCAGTTTAGATTTAGGTTTTTTTTATTAGGTTTTGAAAACCAATTTATTATATAAAAACCTATTTTAATTTGCAAACCTTATTGAAAATATTTATTGTAAATAAAATAAAATAATTGGATTTGTTTTTTTATTTTTAGTAATTACTATTAATTAACTTGATTATATAAAAATGTATTTTTTAGTTAAATTTAATAAAATAGCCACAATATTATGTGGCTATTTGTTTTAAAATCCACAATTAGATTTGTGGTTATTTGTCAATAAAGCTACAATTGGTATGTGGGTAGCTGTGGATATAATAGCTACATATATGGTTTATGGTTATTCGTGGATATTAGCTACAAAATTTTTTTTGTGGCTAAGTCGTAGAAGAACAACCACAAGCAGCCACAACTGGACAATAACCACAAGCTCGATGCTGCGAAAATATTTTGTGGCTATATGTAGCTATTAGTCAAATAGCCACAAAATATTTTGTGGTTGTTGATATCTTCACATTACCGTTCAGGAAATCATGCCACCTCCAAAATATAGCTATGGAATTGATCGTTTTCAACTCTAAGGTTTCCGCATCCAAAGCTAGGAGAGGCGATAGGAATAGTTCGATGAAAACACACTAGTAATTGGTAAAACAACGGTGCTTAACATATTGGATGGAAAGTTAATGTCGAATGTATGCAAGCCAAAGGTATATTAAATATGGAAATGTTCTGTTATTTCTACATGAACATTACTGATTGTTATTTTTTTATTTATCATATGAGGAACCTCCATAGTGGCAATCTATCATGGATCATTCAGATATTATCAAGAACCAACATGGAGCTAAAGAATTTCGTAGCTACTTAACTTGAATCAGAGCGAATGATCTTAAGGTAAGTAAATTCTATCTAAAATATGTATCCTGAGAAATTGTTATATTTGGATATAATCTTGTGTTTTGATAGGTTTCTATGAAGACACTTGCAACTTCTGTCATCGGAAGATTTAATCGAGATGCAACAATATCATATACATATTATGAAATGGTTCGACAAATCCTTGCGCACCACTGTAGAAGAATCCATACAAGGTTATGGAAATGTGCCAAATGGTTGGCATTGAGGATGAGATTTTCACCTCTATACCAAGACAGTTGATAAAACACATACGCTCAGAAAGTGATGATTGCGGCTTCTTTGCTGAAAGAAGCAAACACATATTTGTTAGATGAACCTTCCAGCTTCTTGTCTAGGAAAGAGAGGCTATGTGTTGCCCATTCCATTGTTTTTGTCATTGGACTCAACATGTAATATCTTATTATTATTATTATTATCATGTTACCTTTACGTATTTATTTGTGGTATTAATGTTCATTTTTTTTCCTTTTGTAGACATGCCGTTGAGTTGTGACTGACGAAGACGTAAAAATGGTTGAACACATCTCAAAATACATTTTTGAATTGGACGGACCCCGAATCAAATAGGTCATGTGATTTCATATCATTGATTCAATTGAATAGGTCAATAAAAGATCAAAAAGGTTTGTCCTATTTCAGCACCAACTCATAAACAATTTACTTACTGTCATCCTTAGATGGTGCATATAACGTCCAATTGCACATCATCATTTCAACTGAATATGACAAACCTTTTAAATATGCAATCATGAAAAACTTTTACATATTGTTAAAGCTAATAACAAACATTTCATGATGCTACAGTTTGAGTGAAAAGAAAAGAATCAGTACAACAAAGAAGAGAAAATAATCAGTTTACCTTCAGATTATTACCTTTTCATATGTTTGCATTTGGTTTACAGAGAAGATTAAAGAATTAGTACCACATATGTTATAAATCAATTAATTTATGAATTTCCAATACATTAACTCCATTTCGTTAAAAGAGTAATTATGTTTCAAATAACTCGGATTTTTCATAATTTGTGACCCACCTAGTTAGATAATGTCATTTTGGTAATCAGTTATTTGGGATATCAGGTAGTGGCATTTTCCTTCGGTTTCACTTCACTTATTCATTCTCCTATTAGAGTTAACTGACATGACCCACCATTTTAACTGATGTAAACGAAATATTCATTGGTTCATATATGGATCTTAAGTACATTTACCTAAACTATCTATTATTCGAAATAACCACCGATCTGAACCCATCCTATTACATGAATTCCATCCATACCTCTAAGTATAACCAAAAAAAACTTATGGCGTATTTGAATCAATTTCAATGCAACATCTAATTTTAATTGATGCAAATACATACTCGTTTGCACCCAAATATGTTAATCTTGTAAATTGATTTTGGATAACTACACTATTAAAGAAATTTCAACTATTAACTTTGTGAGGGTACACACATTTGCATTTCATCGGTTCAATTGAATAGGTAAAAACTTGGTAGATTAATACTGTAAGCAATCATGAAAGCTGTAAAATCGTAAAAAGCAAGAGCAAAAGTTGCAAGATACTACAAAAAATTTAGCTATGCAAAATTATTTTTTCATAGAGCTTTCATAAATTAAAGTTAACGTAAAAGTATACATGCTATGCTATGATCGAAGCATCATACAATTTTTTTTTAAAGAATGACAAAAACAAAATCAAGAAAGCTTGTAACTAGAGGGAGATGTAAATCAACAATAAAAGGCATAACTATTGGTAATTTAATCTACAAAAATATGAAAAATCAATTGTAGAGATGTATATTTCAAATTCTAGCTAGGTATATTATCTTGCGAGGTTAAATACCAAAATAGATAAAAAAATATGTCTCCTTACAAATTTGAATTTAGTTTTTTGTCATAATTTCAACTTAATTATTTTTACTTATCTACTATAATTAAAAGGGGCAAATGAATCCCTTTTAACCTGTCCACGTCAGATAAAATATTCCTCCAATAGAGAGACAGTATTCGTCCACGTCACCAACTCTATTGGTTTGAGTGGGCTACGAGAGACGTAAACCTATTTTTTCGATCTCCTCTCATATTCTCCTTCCCGTCTCTGCCTCCTCTCATCCCAATCCATTCCCGATTCATATTCTCACCATGAAACACGAATCTAGCTCTCTCTCTCTCTCTCTCTCTCTCTCTCTCTCTCTCTCTCTCTCCCCTAATTTTCACGGTGAGCTTATAGATCCTCTCTCTCAATTTTTTTTTTTTTTTTTTTTGTATTTTTGAGTTTCTAGCATAATGCATCGATCTGTTCGGCGTGGTAACATATGCATCGATCTGTTCATGTCTACACTGTTGATTTAGTATTTGTTTCTGTTGTGATCGGTTTGGTGTTTGTTAGGTAGGTTTGGAAATGGCGACAGTTCCAAGACAATTGATTTGGGAGATCGTTAAGACCAGCAACTGTCTCTTGGTCAAACAGTTCGGAAGAGGCAACGCCAAGGTTCAGTTCAGCAAGGAGACTAACAATCTCTGCAACCTTAACTCCTACAACCACTCTGGTAATTTTATTACAATGATCTTTGCTACCGAACTTAATGATTTGTCTTTCTCTTGATCGGTAGTGAACTGATTAGTATGATAGCTTCTGACGAGGATTCATGTCATGGCTTTCAGGTTTTGCAAACAAGAAGACAGTGACCATCCAGCCTGCTGACAAGGAACAAGGTGTTGTCCTCGCTACCACCAAGACCAAGCCTAAGATCTCTGTCAACAAGTCCATCCTGAAGAAGGAACAAGCCTAAGATCCCAAAATCTCCAATTTTTCTGGTGAAGCTTTTACCATCCGAAATGTTGCCAATCTCATCACACCGATTCAGGTGCATTTCACACTTACTCCTTTTTGTTCTTACATATTTCTTACATCAAGGAAACCTCTAAAGTGAAACCCTTTTGATGTTTTCCTCTTTTTGATCGAAAGAACAGGCCAACAGAAACCAACTCAGCTCTTGAATTTGCAGTCACTACTCTCCAGGTAAGCTTAAACATGTACAGAGTGAAAATTGCAGAGAAAGAATGCATATACTCATGTTGTTTCTGCGTAGGTTGAGAATATTATAGTAATGGGTCATAGCAATTGTGGAGGAATCGCAGCGCTTATGAACCATCAAAACCATCTAGAACAACCGTCTAGGTAGAGATATATATATATCTACACAAATGTTTTGTCAACAAATCTTCAAATTGCTTTATTATACCAAAAAATTTTGTGTGTATAGTTTGGTAGAGAGATGGGTCATGAATGGAAAAGCCGCCAAGTTAAGAACACAAGAAGTTTCATCACACTTAAGTTTTGCTGAACAATGCAGAAACTGTGAGAAGGTATCAAACTCCAAACATCTTCTCTCTGTTACTTCTGGTCTATTGTACCTAAAGCTGATTTGTGTGTGTGCATGTTGTTTCTGGAGCAGGAATCTATAAAGGATTCTGTGATGAATCTAATAACCTATCCATGGAAAAGAGATAGAGTCAAAAGAGATGAAGTCAAGATTCATGGATGTTATTACAATTTGTCAGATTGTAGTCTTGAGAAGTGGAGACTCAGTTCAGACAAGAATAGCAATGAATTCTATGTTTCAGACAGAGAGATATGGAGCTGACTAAATGTTGAACCATCGGTTCTAATATCCAAATGTATCTTTGTATATGTAAACCTAATGCAATTTTCTGTAAATGTATTAGGTGCAGACTGGAAGAAAGATAAAACCAATTTTCTACGAGGAATTACTAAAGATATTTCATTAAGCTCATTAGATCCCGAAACTTACAACACCACAGAATACTTCAAACACAACAATACATTCACTCACAAAACCAAATAACAACTGACAAAAGAGAGAAAAATAATAGCAATAACATATAATATAATAAAAGAGACTGGTTTCGATGGATATTCTCTCTCAGGTCTGCCTCCATGTTCTTAAACTTCAACCCCACCATTGATGCACAGCAACACCTTCATCTCTAAGTTTTCCATATAGAGCCAAACACTCCCAATAAGCCATACTACTCTCACTCTGCATCTTCCTTGCCCTTAGCCCGAAACCCTTTGGTTTGCATTCCAAGAAAAGCTCATCCACCATTTTTATAGTCTTGCTCCTCATCATCTCCTCCACAACTTTAGCCTCTGCTTTCATCACCACGTATTCCCCCTCCTTCACATTTTACAGAAATCCACTGTGGGAAAGTATTCAAGTGAAGAAGAACAAACACAAAATGTGGTTTTCTGAAATTCCTACAAAAGCAGCCAAACCGAATCCATTTTCCAGCTTTCAAAAGTCAACGAGGAAACCAGGATTTTGTCACGGGTTAGCAAAAACCTGCTCTAACCTCTTCAAACGAGTACTCAACAGCTTCTGCTTCGTCCATTCTCTTCTTCACGGCCGTGGACGCAGGAGTAAACGGCGTTCTTGCCTCCGACATAGAAACTTCAAGATGTTTGTTTCTATGTCTTTGATGTGCTAAATAGGTTTCTGTGATGGATCTCAAGGTGGTTCCATCTACACTGTTACTTCCTCTTGCTTTGATTTGTGTCAATATGGGATAGGAGAAGGAGATCTATTCAAAGCTCTTGAAGAGGCTGTCTTAGTCGTTGATCAACTCCCAGCTTCTTTAACAATGATCTCTTGCGACGAGCCTTTAGTGAAGGTGACATACATGTTATTTTCAATCTCCATTGGATAGGATTATTGTTAGTTGTAACTGAAAGGATCAACATGTGAAGTTCCCTGTACACAGGAACAAGAAGAGAAAGCAAAATTTCAAGCGCAAAATCAAGGTACACCAACAAAACACCTATCCTTTAAAATTAACTAGATTTTGACCCGCGCAACCGCGCGGGTGTTTGTTTTCGTTATAGTTAGTTATATAAACATTTTGCTTTCACTTGTAAATTGGTATATATTATAGTAATCATTTATTTACGATATGTATAGTAAATGTTTTTCAAACATATTAATATTATATAATACGTGTTTTAATCAAATAGATTGTTTGAAATTTTCTATATTATACATGTTTTTCAAACATGTGTTTGTTTCTTCTTTAATATTTTATTGTTTGTTAAATTAGTATTTCATTTTTAGATAAAGTAATATAAATAGAGCTTGATTAAATATTAGTATACTTTAATTTGCAAAGATAATATAAATTTCGAAGAAATTTTTGCTAAAAACTAAACTTATAGCTTCATAAATTAATATTATAAAGAATTTTATTAAAAATAATATTTTAAAAAATAATTTTTTTAAAAAGAATATAATTTTAAAAATGTACATCGAAATAAATTTATCTAGTATATATAGCGTGTAAATTTTGTTAGGGTATATAAATATTTCATATTACGAATCTGTGATTTTTGTTAATATATTGTGGATGCATTTAATTATTATTAACATATTTCTTTATAAATAATAGAAGATTCCTAAACTTATATCTGTTGACATATTTTGCGTGACTAAGTTGGAAGGTGTGGGGTAATTTACTAAAACCAAATTGTTAAGTGTATTTTTGTTATTATAGATATGATTTTTTTCTAAGATATAATAATGATAAAGATTATTATAGAGTTAATGTAACATGACTTTCTAGTAATAGTCCATTTTAAAAAAAAATTACACATGAATTCAGGTCATGACTTCTGTTTTAATATATAAGATTTTTTAACTCAACATTGTTTGGTTTGGTGCTGCACTCTATGTATTCAAATATATATTATTGCTGATATTCCCTTCTACAGATGAAGAAGTCACCCACTTGGGTATCTCCTGCAGGTACCTCAAAAAGAAAAGACGGCAAGTGAGATTTTCATAAGCAAACAAAATTTTGGCTTACACTTATGTTGGCAATGCTGATGCTAAAACAACAAAATAATTGATCACAAGATAACAGTTCTTCTATTTTCACAGTTGAGAAATATATAAAGAGGGATTAGTAAAGTACGCAGCCTTTTCTAAAAATATATATTTATACTTCAGCTTGGAAACTAAGTATAAAAAATTATCAAAAAGAAAAAACCTTCTAAATTGTTAAAATCAATATATTAGATGTTTAATATCTAAGTTAGTTCTTTTAAAAAAGGACTTCCCTATAAATAAATTTGAAATTTAATTTTTCGGAAATTATGTAAAATTTCAACTAACAAAAAAGATGATTTCTTAAACATATATAATCAATATTAATATAAATGTGCCACAAGAATGTAAAATATTGATAAGAAAAGGATTGAAGAAAATAATAACTAAAAACTGAATATAATTAAACATATAGAAAAAATATTGGAAATATAATGGCAAAATTTACATTATACAAATATAAAGTTCTAAATCAAGAAAAAATGAACTAAGGCGGAAACTTATACCTAATTACAAAGACTAAATAAAACATGCAATAAAAAATGAAAGTTTAGTTTGTTATAAATAAATGAAGGTTGCAAATTTAGTGGGACTAATTAATAGGATGAAATAAGTATTTTTATAAAATTATTAAACATTGACAATTGGAAAATAAATTCATGTTTTTGAAGAAGATTTATCCTAAAATATAGAAAGATTAAGAATTTATATTAATTAACCATATGCGATATGTTTTTAAATTAATTTTAATAAAATAAAAAATTAATACTCGCAGAAAACTATTAGTAAGAATTAACTTTAACAACTCCATAAAAAAATTCAAAGTTTCAAATGAGAACTAACAAAAGAATTACAAGATATTTTTATGCTGATAACATTTAATGTTATTTAAATAAAAAAGAAAATAACCAGAAAAAGAAAGAAGTTAGAGGAAATAGAAGATATGAGAAAATAGAGAAGACTTGTGATACATGAGAACTATTCACCGCGCTAGATGTTGAGATGGACACCATCTTGGGTATTAGACCTAAAGAAACCGAATATTATTGGACATAAAAAAAATATTGACTAATATTTATTTATTATTATTTCAATCAGTTATTTAAATACATAAGTTGGTAACAAAACATAGACTATTATGCAAGTTGAGTCAAAAAGCTCAACCATGGAAATTTATATACTACATTATCATTTCATTTTAAACAAAAAAATATTCATTTTCTCAAGTTCAAATGACTATATTTTCTTAAATGTATAATTATGGTGGTCACACAAATTTCTATGTCTTTGTTATAAAGAAGTATTTTGATCTATTCCATGCATAAAATTTGGTTCATATTGCATAGTCTTTGGAAACTTGAGAAAAAAACTAATATGGCAATTATTATTTTTTAAATGGTTAAACAATAAATAATAACTTCAATTAAATATGTATATGGTTTTTGACATAATTTCATAATAGAAATATGTCTACTAAATTATTTTATTGTTTGTTATTAAAAGCGATGATTTGTGATAAGAAGTGTTTTAAAAACAGAACCGGCTGGTTGGATCATGACTCTCTCTCTTCTAAACAATTTTGAGTTGTGCTAAAAACCAACCAATTCGGTTTAAGAACCGGTTACTTGCTAAAAACCAATGGTCCAGTTTGATATTAAACGCTGATTTTTTTTTCAAATTCAAGTTAAAAATGTAATTTTTTAAAAAAACTTTCATAAAAACTTGTATTGCTTTTAATATCTATTTAAATAAATTATTTTCATTATATTTTATATTATTTCTGAAGTTTTCAATTTATTTCCATATCATTTTAGCTTCAAACAATGATAAAAAGACTTATAAAAACAATTTTATAGTTATACATATATATAGATACTTAACTTAAAATTAAATTAAATTTACAAACCAGTGAGACCGGTGTTACTACAATGTCAAGTTAATGTTCGATCTGGTATTGAAAACATTGATGACAATGATAAACTAATATCATCCAGTTTATAAATAAATAGAATAAATAAACATTACTCATAACAACAAAATATATACAATCTTAAATTTACATAATATCATTTTTAATTTAAATAAAAGTCAACTCATTTTCTATACTTAATTTTCAGATTTTGATAGTGATTATTTTCTAACAACATTTTGAAGATAGAAAATATAAAACTACAGATTAAAATATTACAGTAATTATTATGTAAATTATTTATACCAAAAATAAAATGAGGGTTCTGTTAAAAAAAAACTAGAAAACTATATTTTGTAAAAACAAATTGTCCATTATTAGTATTACTTATGAAACTCTTACTTGCATTAACTACAATAATTTTGTTAATTGTTATCTTTCTATATTTAATTTAATATTCTATTTCTTCTGTTTTTAAATATAACTTTAATTATAAAATATATTTTCTATATAAACAATTAGAAATTTTATTTAAAAGATTAGCTGCGCGTAGCGCGGCCAAAAGATCTAGTTTCATTAACATTTCATTTTCATGTTCAGTATTATTAACTAATACTTATAGTTTAGATTTGAGGCACCAACTTCGAAACCCTTAAAATATATTTTTTTAATTGCTTAGAAAAATCTACGGGTTGGCGGTGTAGTCGTCAGATTATTCACGAGGATCACACTCTTTACTCTTTTTGATCTCTAATCACTTTTCCGTTTCTCTTCCTGTCTAAAAGTTAAAAAAGATCACACTCACTTCTCACACCCCACTTGATAGAACTTTAAACTAGTCGACTTCTCGATTCTCTTCGCTTTATACACTGTACAACCGAATCTCTGTGTCTGAAAGTTTCCATTTTTCGATCTGGGCATTTTCTAAAGCTCATCTTTTTTTTCTTTTTAGTTTCTGATCCAAGGTTCTTCTCCTTGAGTTCGCTTTGAGTTTTCAAATAGTTACATCTAAGGTTGTTCTGAAAATATGGCGTCTTGCTCTCCAACCATGAAGCTTCAGTGTCCTAGTAGTCCCTTTGGTCTGAACAGAAAAGTCGTTTCTGCCTCTGGAAGAGTGAGTGCCTTCTGGGGAGCGGAGGTTGTCAACACCAATCATTTGAAGGCACAGTGTGGACCTCAAAAGGTTCAGACAAGGCTCATTCGCTCTGTTCTCACCCCATTTGTTGAACAAGACTCTCATGTAAGATTTCACACTTGCAATTCCACTAAGAAGTCTCTTTGTTAAGTTTATGTTTGTGTTTTGAAATGAACTCAAGCCTGCGGCTACAATGAATATAGGTTCTACTGGTAAAATTTTGTATCTGACTGCATCAGTAAAACCTCGTTTTTTCGCCTAGTTTTTGCTGGAATTTGATTAGGAAATTGTCATGTGCTGAAAGTGCCTCCTCTTGTTGTTAAGAATTGTTTAGTGAGAGTGTCTGTCGAATATTATATTTGACCAAAGCTGGTGACTTTTGTGGATATTTTATTTCGAAGCTAAGAATTACTGATACTAAGCCAAGACAAATTGTGTTTACTTGAGGAAGTGCAGCTGCTCAGACTTCATATGCTGGTCTTCTATAATTATCCTGGGATTCAATGTAGCAGATTATAGCTGTTGTTAGGAGTGTGTAGGTTTTTTTAGTGCTTTGGCTGAGTAAGAGAGCCAGTCTCTCATCAGTCAAGTTTTTTTTTCTTTCTGGTCTGGTGAATTGAATAAGAATTTACTTTTTTTCTACTTTTATTCTTCCCAAGTTGCATTTTGTTTCTTCCAAGTGTTGTTTTTGATATACAGAATGCATTTTTTCAGGAACCTCTGCTGAGAACTCCAAGAGCAGACCCAAAGAATGTGGCATCTATCATACTAGGTGGCGGTGCCGGGACTCGCTTGTTCCCTCTTACAAGCAAGAGAGCTAAACCTGCGGTGAGAAACGTTTTTGTCTTTCCCTCTAAATCATTGTGAATGAGGTTTCTAAACTTGTTTATAATCATAGGTGCCAATTGGAGGGTGTTACAGGCTGATAGATATACCAATGAGCAATTGCATCAACAGCGGTATTAGAAAGATCTTCATCTTAACTCAGTTCAACTCTTTCTCCCTCAATCGCCACCTTTCTCGCACTTACAATTTTGGCAATGGTGTCAATTTCGGTGATGGGTTTGTTGAGGTGATACCATTGCCCCCACCATATATTAATTTTATCTTCCTGCGTTGATTTTTCACTTGAAGTGTTGTCTCCTCTGGGAATGATTAGGTTCTTGCTGCAACTCAAACTTCCGGAGATGCAGGAAAGAAATGGTTCCAGGGAACTGCTGATGCTGTTAGGCAGTTTATATGGGTCTTCGAGGTACTCATTATTGTCTCTCTTCATTCTCATAGTAAGTGTTCTTGTCGGTGCAAGAATAACTAGTGTAAACATACTTGGTGGTGTGTTTATGCAGGATGCCAAGACAAAGAATGTGGAACATGTCTTGATCTTGTCTGGTGATCATCTCTATCGGATGGATTACATGAACTTTGTGCAGGTTAGTTTTATTCTTCTTGTTTGACGACATTTATATTCATGTGAACGTTGTTTCATTTCTTGTTTGTTTTTTTTTGCAGAAGCACATTGAGTCAAATGCTGATATCACAGTTTCTTGTCTTCCCATGGATGAGAGGTGTGTCTGGTGATCATTAACCTTGTGTTCATACCTTACTTTTGTTTGATGAATATAACCCTTTTATTCTTTTATTCACAGCCGTGCGTCAGATTATGGGCTGCTTAAAATTGACGAGTCTGGACAAATCGTTCAGTTCTCGGAAAAGCCAAAGGGAGATGACTTAAAGGCAATGGTAATGACTTCTTATGTTTTTGTTGAAACTACTGCAAGCTAAACTCAACTAACTTTCTTGCTTGTTTTTAGCAAGTTGACACTTCAGTTCTTGGCCTGCCACCAAAAGAAGCTGCAGAGCTCCCATACATTGCATCCATGGGAGTTTATGTCTTTAGAAAAGAGGTGTTGCTAAAGCTTCTAAGATCGAGTTATCCTACATCCAACGACTTTGGTTCAGAGATCATCCCATTGGCCGTGAAAGAGCATAACGTCCAGGTCTTTTTGAAATTGTTTAGCATATCATATCTGTATATGTGCTTCCTTTGACCATTATTTTATTTTTGTTGGCTAGGCATTTCTGTTCAATGACTATTGGGAGGATATTGGAACTATAGGATCATTCTTTGATGCCAATCTAGCTCTCACTGAACAGGTGACTCTTGTTTTCATCTACTGAATAGACTAGTGACTCGGTGAAATCTAATCACACACTTTTTCTTTGTTTCTGGCAGCCTCCTAAGTTCCAGTTTTATGATCCAAAAACGCCATTCTTCACATCTCCACGGTTCTTGCCACCTACCAAAGTTGACAAATGCAGGGTTCGGTTCTTGAATCTGTTATGATGATATTTATCTATCATAGCTTGTTGAAAACGGGTTCTTGAATTGCAGATACTCGACTCCATAATTTCACATGGATGTTTCTTGAGGGAGTGCAGTGTGCAGCACTCTATTGTAGGCATAAGATCACGTGTAGAGTCTGGTGTACAGCTTCAGGATACAATGATGATGGGAGCAGATTTCTACCAAACAGAAGCTGAAATCGCGTCTCTATTGGCGGAAGGGAAAGTTCCTATAGGTGTAGGCGAGAACACCAAGATCAGGTAATAAACGTTCTCTAGTTCCTAAGAAAGCAGAGTCCTCTGATATAGCCATTTATTGTCTTACTTGTGTTGTATTGTGTAAATGTAGGAACTGTATCATTGACAAGAACGCCAAGATTGGGAAGAATGTGATCATAGCGAATGCTGATGTATATATCTTATTCTCATAATTTTTTTGGTTAATAATCGTTGACTTTTTTTCTCCATTGTTTAATGTTTTCTTTGTTGTCTTGAGTGTTGCAGGGTGTGGAAGAAGGAGATAGGCCAGAGGAAGGGTTTTACATAAGATCAGGCATAACCGTTGTGTTGAAGAACGCTACCATTAGAGATGGTCTGGTTCTTTAACTCTTAAACCTATCGTAGGAGAACTGTAAATCTCTTCCTGTGACTTTGAACGAGAGACGCTATGTTCTATGAAAATAATATTTAATAAAACAGGAGGGACACATTTTTAAAAATTGTCATCAAATACATTTTAAATATGTTGTAATCCAACTCACTAAATTTTTTGGTGATCTTCTAATGGAGAACTTGTTATAAAGCTGGCCTTTCTGAAAATATAACATCAATATTGACAATATATAGTAGACGTTCCTATAAATATATCAAATCACGATACTTTAACTGGTGAGTGGTAACCAAAGGAATGTGTGGGAATAGTTAATTCTTCTTTATTCCTTAAATTTGACACCATTTATAAGGAATCATAATAGTTAATTCCTCTTCATTCATTAAATTTGACACCATTTATAAGGAATAATTTTTCTTCAATATTCATTCTCATTCCTTTTAATTTAAGGAATCAAAGAACAAAACCATTCCTTATCAAATCCGGGGAGGATCAACATGGAACAAGTATTCCTATTATTTTGTTCCTCTTTATTCATTTTCTCATTGTTCCCATTATTCCTTTGCGAAACTTCTAAATAATATATAGCAAACTTTCTACTTCTCAAAATCACAATCTTTTGAAACGCTACTAGTTAGATAAATCAAATTCTTGCTTCTAATATACAGTTGTGAGTCTTGTGACATGCACATATTCGCAGTTTCTAGCCCAAGAAAATGGAATAAAACTCCAACTTGTTGTGTCTCACCCTGGTCTTTCTACCATCAGACTGTCTTACCATGCTCAACTTGGTCGTCTGGTTGTCAAAACAAGTTTCAAACTGGTACACGTGTCAAGTTAGTTATTATTCTCTTAGGAACTCCATCTTGGTTTTTGTTTTAATATATTCAATTTCTGAGAAGATAGCTTCGGTGGTATCATCTCTTTCAAGGAAGAACAAACTTGAACCACTCTGATAAGGCTGGTCCTAGACATAGCCAAACGAAACATTAGTCTATAGCTGATAGTTCCTAAATTCTTCAGAAAAGTTGCACAAACATAGAACCTCAAAGTTGTTTTAATTTTTTTTTAGTAAATACTTGTACTAAATTGTCTACAGCCTCTCCCCTCCCCCACTCCAAATCTCAGGAACAGCTTGCAATGTAGGAGTAAACGTGTCTCATCTGAGTTCATTGGCATGTAACACTGAAAACTAACTACAAAGAGTAATGGCAGTGAAGGTCAGCATCACAAAACTTTTTGAATCACTCGCAGTGGAATTTGATCGTCATGCATCCCACCTTTGAACCGCTTAATCATTACGTACGTAAGTCCATAGCTGCTTATTTTCCGTTTCTTTATTCGCATATATATATCTTTCTCTTCTTGGTATGAATAGCTCTTGTATGCTTGAGTAGGTTCTAAGTATAAAGATACGATCAAAGCCTATAACTTTTGGTGTGAAAACGGTATCAAGTATAGTTTTTAACCAACAATTTACAATGTAAATTTTGTTAGTACCCTTGATTTTTTTAAACAAAAACTACACGGTGTAACTAGAATGTGATATGGAGGTTTTTTATTTTATTTTGTAAACTAATATGGAGGGTTTTTTTAGGTAACTGAATTATCACCTATTTTCTTTCGCACGCTTTCTCTAGATATCCAACATATTCTCCAAATCTTTCATTAATATATTTCCCATTTTATTTATTAAATTTCCTTACTGATAAATCCAGAAATGAAGTACAAAATCTTGTTGACTTAAATCGTTACATTTGGATTTTTCTCTTTCTTATTTACCTCTTATTCTCTCCTTTGCTTCTTCTCCACACCGGTCAGCTATGACGACTAACCAAAACGGAGGAGATGGAGATGTGAATCCGGAGGAAACCTCGCAACCGTCTGAGTCTCAACAGCTTCTACGTGAAAGACTCCAAGCTTACGAGAATATGTATGGCTCCTTGGATGATCACTACTCACGTGGAATCGGATCTTCACCGTTTGTTCCTTTTTCAGATTTGCAAGCCCTTCAATCTGACTTTAGAAGATTGGGTGTCTCTGATCCAAATCCTCGTCAACAGCCGCTACGTGATCAACGTCGAAGCAATCAATTCCCTTTGAATGGTCGAGAACGAGGTGTCAATGAATACTATTACCCTTTGTATTCTCAGTCTCAAACTGAACAAGATTGGATTAATCTGAGGCAGAGGTTGTGGTTTAGAAAGGATAATCCTGTTAACGGGTACGATGCTAATAAGTCATCTAATTATGGTTCTTATGGGCGTGGTAATAATGGTATGTTGGTTCCTCCTCCGTATTTTTACCACAACAAGGTTCCTTTTTCCCCAAGTAATACTCATAATTCAGGTGATCAAAGCCTTTGGAGTTATTCACGCGGATATGTGCCTCGAACACGTGATCCATTCAATATGAATAACTCTAGGGATCTGGATAACACACTGTCCCGTGCTAAAAACCGTGTGGATTCTGTCGAGTTGCAAAACATGACTGCAGAAGGTTCGAGAGACACTATCGATAAGATATTTGATGAGCTGATATCACATGTTTGTGAGCTGATGACTGACCCTTTTGGACATCAAGTCTTTCAAAGGCTTATGGAGAAATGCACAATGGAACAAATCACTCGGGTTTTGGATATTGTCATCCAACAACCTATTGAGTTTGTGAGAATTTGTGGCGATTTGCATGGGTATACACTTCCTTTTACATATTTTCATTTGATATGATCCGACTAACTGATATTTTGTAAGGATTAATTTTAACTTGTATTTTGTTTTGGGGATAACAGAACGCGTGCAGTACAAGATTTGATCCGATGTCTTAGTTCCGAAGAGCAAATATCTCACTTCGTGGTAACTCTATGTCATGTTGCACTGCTTCTGAGCAAGAACACTAACGCAAATGATGTGATTATGTTTTGCTTCAGCCATTTTTCTCCTTCACAAACCAATGTAAGTATATATCTCATTTCTTAAAACTAAACTTGAGTGTAATTATTTCGGCATCTTTTATGTGATCTGTGATTTGTTCTATAGGGACTTCTTGACATGATTGTTCAGAACTGTTATCAAGTTGCAATTGATCATTATGGGTCTTGTCTGCTTCAACAATGCATTGGAAAATCCCGTCCAGAAATAAGGGAGCCTTTGATTAGAGAGATAATCACTAATGCCATGAGTCTATGTGTGGATCAGTATGGGTACGTATTATATAACAAAAATGATTAAGCATTAATCATTTTATATATTACATTCTTATTCTTATATGAGGTACATGTTTCCATTTATCAGAAATTACGTGGTTCAATATTTGTTGGAATTGGACAATTTTCAAGTGGCAACAGCTCTATCGAGATTTCTCCGTGGGAATTACGTGCAACTCTCATGTGACAAATATGGAAGTCATGCGGTGCAGAAATGTTTAGAAAGTAGACAATTTAACTCGAGAATGATCATCAACGAGCTGCTTACTGACATTGATTCACTTCTTGTGAATCCTTTCGGAAACTATGTGATTCAAACTGCATGGGTTGTATCTCAGGTAATAAAAATAAACATTTAGATCTAGTTTGTGTGAAATTGTTAGCTTATTTGTTTTTCTTTTGTCTTGCAGAATGATATGCGAAGTGAATTGTTGTACCATATTAACAGGAATCATCCATTGATGAGGTGCAATAGATACGGGAGAAAAATACTTGAAAAGCTCAATCTTTGGACATAAGAAGGCATGTTGTGGAATTAGATGAGAAGACCTTGCACGATTAGTTATTCATGTTGGTGTTTTTAGGTATGTGTTGTAGGTCTCAATAGCCAGAGACTCTTCTCTCTTCAACCGTCAAACGTGCTTTTATGTTTTAAGAGTTTATGTTGAGTACTTTCTTTGAGTAAAATCGTATTTTCGTAGATATACCGTTTCTGAGCAACATCCAGGCCGAATATAATGTGTGTAGCAAGGAACCAAAGACTCTTCTCTCTTCATATTCCGTTTCTGAGCAATAAGAAAGTAGATTCTACTTTGTTTATCAGGACTGTTACTCTTGATAGCCAAATTGTATCAGAAGTTTAGGTGAAGATGTAAATAGTGGGTAGGAGTTTGAGAAGTTGGTTCTCTTTGCTGCATAATGTTAAAGAGAAATGTGTAGTGTCTATTACAGGGCTATTCCTATTTTCGTTGTCAACTTAGTAAGCAGTCCATTTTTATATAATAGGATATAGTTTCAGAATACAAATATATAAGTAGAACTGATGAATAATAAATAAAATTTCCTTGTTTCTGTTGCACCGGAAATAAACCAAAACAACCGCGTCGAAAAGAAACGAGGCTGGTTCATTAGTTAGCCAACAAGATGCATGTATTATTAGGCCTTGTTTGTGAAATAATCGGTTCATAAAACAACGGATGGGGTGTTAAAAAAAAACAACGGATGAGGTGTTGAAAAAACAAGGATGAGATAAACCGGGACTTCTAAGCAAACTGATCAAGGCAGACCAATGTTTTGAAACATAATCTTGACATGCGTAGAGTGCCATTGACAATAACTCCAGCTTTACATTTGATGGTAAATTCATACTGAATTGCATTATTTATGTTGCTTTCTTGTAGGAATGCCTTTGAATGTTACTAGGCGTTGGTTTTGGTAAGCTTTGCTACATCTGTCTTCTTCTGCGCCTTAATATAATGTCACTGCTTCATATTTCGTCAAGTCTGAAATAACAAAACTCATGCGTTATTGGTATTTGTAAAGGTGGTGGTTTCATTCAAAAAAAGAAAAAGAAAAGGTGGTGGTTGCGGTGTGGGTTTAGGCCTCGGGTGGGGGTTTCGGAACTGCCTTTGGTAGTCACTACCGGTCATATAGACTTACGTTTCAAGGCATCCAGTTAGACAAAGCTTCGGATAAAGGAGAGGATAACATGTCCAAAACTACTCAATGATCAAATATCCTATTTTCCTTGTTTTAAAAAAAAAAATAAATAGACGAGACTGCAAAATGAATAGGACAAAATGAAACATAACTCGAAAGGTGTGGAAAAAAAAAATCATGCGAATCAGACCCATCACCAGGAAACTCGTTTTGGTGAGCCACCATATACACACCTCTCTTTACTGGTACGCCATCCATGCTAAGTAGCTTGTACTAGGTGCATATATATATATAGTGACGTGGGTGTGGCTATATATTCAATCACAAATACTAACTAAAACAATTGTGTCACTAAGTAGCCATAATGGGAAGAGTGATGTTCTGGTTTCTTGTTTCCATGTATCTATGCCTCATTGGCCATATGATTGGTGAGGCTGCAAGAGAAGGTGCCATGATGAGTGAATCAAAATCCAGTGAGATGGGAAAGAGTAACCGCCACGTAACCAGGTTTAAGGGTGAACTCACAGCTGGCGGCTATGGGGGAGGCGATCCAGGGTATGGTGGATACGGTCCAGGTGGTGGCAGTGGTGGTGGTGTTGTGATCGGTGGTGGATTTGGTGGTGGTGGTGGTGTGGGTTGGGATGGAGGAAACAGAGGAGGCGGTCCGGGATACGGGTCAGGAGGTATTGGTGGTGGAGTCATCATTGGCGGTGGGGGTGGTGGTGGTGGTGGATGTGGCGGTTCATGCGGTGGTGGTGGTGGACCTGGTGGTGGATATGGACACCTTAAAGCCAGCATGATGGAATCAGGCAAAAACTAGAAAAAGCAAGCAGTTTCTTTAGATCGTAGAAGGACAACACAAGAAATAAGGATGTACTTTATCATCTTGATCATGTTTAGGAGTTTGTAATGCTGTCACGTTTAATGGAATACGAGTTTTCTTTGGTCTTTTAAAAGTTTCTTTGAACTCTCTCTCTCTTTGCGTCTTCTCTTGGGTTGGACATCTGGGGCTCTTTTTCCACCAAGGAATCACATCCTTTAATTTACAGAGAGACCGGACCACTTTTGGTAAACCTTGGTTCTTCCCAACTCTTCTACTACTTACTTAAATACACAAATACTCGAATCACCAACTTTGAACACTAGAAATAAATTGAATATATTCAAAGAATCATAAAACAGTAGCAAGAAATCATCAACTTGGAAGTTTTATCTGTACCTCCTGCCAACTACTAGACAAAGCAATGAGAGATTGTCTTATAAGGAGAATGCAGCAGTTGTAATAAAGAAGGGCACAATAAAAGTGCATGCATAGTTCCAATATGATTAACTTTTAAAAAGTTTTCTTCATATACGCATACATGTTTGACTGTTTTGTTGTAATTATCAGCAAATGATTCCATTTTAAAACTTCATGTGTGTAGCAGGTAAAATACCGCAAGATGCATAGTAGATAGTTTCTTCGTTGTTAATGGATCCAATTGGTTTTGTAGTTGTTATCCAGAACACACCCGAAGTAGCAGATGCTTCATCAACTATAAACAATTAGCAAAAGTGGTTATTGGTTGGCTCAAGTTGCTTCTCTAGTGGATTCTCCTTTTAGATTATTATCTAATGTGTTTTTTTTTTTTTGTGTGTAAAATTTGGTGGCTAGAAGTAGAGCAAGACTAGCCACCAAACCCCTAAAGCATATCCAAGTCCATATGTCTTGTTTCTACCACCATTCTACCAACCACATATGGTCCCTTACTATATGCTGTAAGTTAAGTTATAAGCAAAAACAAAATGCGAATTTGTAACTGAAGACTGATTAAAAACAAACTCTTATGCATTAAACAACAACAAATATGGGGATATGAGTTTGATTATTCATGTAAATGTAAAATTAGAACTAAGAACAGAGTTGTAGCAAGAGGTATGGTATTATTCAAACAAAACTATGAAAAACCCTTACATGTATCAGTTTAAATACAGAAAAGACAAACACTATTCTGACAAAGAATGAGTTTAGTAATAATAACTTTAACTGAAAAAAGTACAAGACAGGAATGAATCAATGTCCGAAACTTTGTCTGTACAACCAACAAATTCCTACATAACTCAAAACAGAGCACATGAAAAAGATCTGATAGTCTAATTAAGCTTCCTCCGAGAAGTCAAACCGGGGCTTCTTCGTCGGCATGGGGCTCATCACTTCGTCGTCTCCGTTAACCGGCGAGAATTCAGGTACAGGAGGGATGTTTAGGTCGAACCCACGGTGACCAGTGCTGACGTGGCTGGTGGACCCCGCTCCTTCAGAGTTAGCCACGCTGCTGCTACTGTTATTATTATTGTTATTATTCCCTTCGTAGTGACACCGCTTGTGTCCACCGAGAGCTTGACCCGAAGGAAACGACTTGTGACAGATCGAGCAAACGTGCGACTTCCCACTTCCGGTCGTCACGGCGGATGTGGTTGTCGCCGTCGACGTCGATTGATCATCTCCTCCGCCGGATAGGGTCTGTGATAGGTTTTTTCTGTGACTCGCCTTGTGTCCGCCGAGAGCTTGGTAAGACGAGAACGACTTGTCGCAGACGCTGCACGTGTAGGTAGAAGACTTGTCAGCAACCGTCACCGGAGGAAGAGGAAGAGGAAGAGGGTTACGGTTGCTGCGGTCGCCGTCACGAGCGAGGAGCAAGAGACAGAAAGCGAGATACTCTTCTTCTGTGAGATTCTGGTGGTGGAAGTCAGATCTGGACCGTTTAGATCTTTTACCTTTGGTCCAGTGTTCGACGCCATGGAATCTTGAAGAATCTTCGAACAAAGGAGGAACTGGAGAAGCTAATCTCGGTGAGCTGATAGTCTCAAGAGCCATTAGTAGATTAGAATCTGAAGATCTTTCTGGTAAAAAAAAAGGAGAATTTAGAGAGGCTTTTGTGATGAACTGAACTTAAAATGCAAGAAGAGTTGTTTTTTTTGTTTGTTGAAGAAGAGATGAAAGAGTGTGTAAATATATAGTAGGTGAAGTGTGTGTGTGTGTGGAGAGGAAGTTGCGTGACAAGTGGTGGGAAAGTGTGAAGAGTGAAGGTGGCTATTAGATAATTACTTCTTTTCTTTTGTGTGAATTTATTTACATATGCGGACCAAAGACTTGCGAGTAAAGTTTCTCAATGTTTGTCTCTCTTTTTAGGTTAAAGGGAGAGTAACTTGGCCACCTCTGGTTGGACTTAGTACACGTGTGGAAAGAGTGGTGATGAGATAGAAAAGGAAGAGGTCGACTATAAAAGACTTTTTCTTCATTTACTTTTTGATGCCATGCCGCCTTGCAAATATTCTAGAGAGTCTCTTCTGTTTTATTATGTGGTCATAGTCATGGTCATCCTATGCTACACGTTTCGGTCTTTCTATTTATTTTCAAATCCCTTTTTTAGAAGATAGAAAGTTATAACTTATTAGTTGACCAAAAACAAAGAACAGTTATATCTACTAATTAACCAGTAATGATTTCAAAAGCTACCAGAATACTCTACAGACAAGATTCATTTCAAACGGATAAGTTCTAGTCGAGTCTAAATGGAAAATGTGGACTATATAGAAGTAGAGCTGGGAATTTGATTCAAAATCGTTGAGAGTTTCTTACTTAATGATCATCCTAGACTACACGTTTCGATTTTCATTATTTTCAAGAAAGATTGAAATAAAGTTCTTAACTTATATTTACTAGTTGACCAATAAAAGAACAGTTTAGCTACTAACCAATACTGATTTGAAAAGCATCTACATACAAGGTTAATTTGAAACGGACAATAGTTCTAGTTGAGTCTGAATGGAAAATATTGACTATATAGAAGCTTTGAACAGTATTGATATTGAAAAGGTAATGTTTAGGAACAAAAGAGAGTCTTGATACGGTGAATGAACAAACGTTTGAAGAAGAAGAAGAAGACTATTCCTAGTCTCGACGGTCAAAATCCAAAATAAGAATTAAAAGTATTTAAATCGAACGAACCAACTTGTTTGGTCCAACTTGTTTTTATGGAAACCAACTACATTTGACTTCACACAAAAGAACCATCTTCAACTTTTCCACACGCGGTGTATTTCAAACCGTCCGGTTTAATTGCTTTTATTTGACGCAAACATATAACCGGATCATGACGGCATTTGAGTGGTGGCTAAGATAAAGTCGGAAGATATGGTATAAGACTGGACCCCAAATTCACATTGAAATGCTGGAAACAACGGATAATGATCGACATATAAACTATACACTGCACATGACGTGTCACGTACTTTAACCTTTGATTATCCCATAAAAACGAATGGTTTTGTCACTGTGGAAGTGTCGGCCACATATTATTATGGTCACGTTTTGGTCATGCTATTATTTTTTTTTTCAGTTCTCTAAGGTCTATCGTAAAAGTTCCCCACTGAATCTATCATATATAATACTGTTGTGCGTTTTATTATATTGGAACTCAAAAAATTCACTACAGATTTTGTTACAAATGGAATTCATAAAAGAAAACATACATATATGAAGCATTTGAACATAGCTGCTATAAATTCTCTTTGGAGGGATGTTGAATTAATCATGTTATTTGAAATCTGAACTGTTTTTCTGGCAAAGAAATGGTTTTATAATTGATGATAACGCAGGTAAAAAGTTATGGTTTCACAAGTCTCGCAGTGGTAACTGGTATGCATCTCTGTTTTGGATGGTTTAGATCCAGGTTCGAACAGTTCATGACACTGACATGTCAGTGTTCGTGTATAAAGGAAAACTTGAAACTTGTGACTTGTGAGGCAGATATGAGATAATGCGATCGATGGAGAGAAACAAAAATGTGTGTTGTCGGCGTGTCATCATGCATGGGTCACGCATTGCCTTCTAAAAAAAAAACAAAACTCACACAAACTTCCAACCTCTAACATGTAAAAGGTGCCAAGGCAAATTTAAAAGTGATTCTCTTAACTCCACTATTTTTATGCGGTCGGTGTCTATCTTCTTTTGGGTTAAAAACGGAGATGGTAGAGAATTTTAGACGGTAGACAGTGTTGTTGGTTGGTTGTGCAGTGGACGTTAAATGATTAGTTTCATGTAGACATTATTTATTATGCAGGTGTATATGACACGCAGACACGGGTTGTATTTAGTGTATTTATTTATCATACGGGTTGTATTTATTAGTGTATGATGTACAGTAGTCTAACTCCACTGCAAGTAGGGCCTTGGAGGTTGTCCAAAAAAAAAATGTAGAGCTTGGAGTCAGTGGGGTTATTCTTTGGGCAATGCGCGTTGGGTTTAAATATAGAGAAAATTAGAGATTTACCCAAAAACGAAGCTCAAATTTATGGTTTATCCATTGATAGACGTTAGTGGTCCAAACCATATAATTACATTTGAAAATGCTCTTCTTCAACTGACACACTTTCTATTGGTTACAGAGAAGTTAGAGTTTACTAAATTTTAGTTAGCATTATCATTTTTGTCAACATATTTGCTAGATTTTTTTAATGCTAAAAATATTATCAATTAATAATATTTTTGAAATATAATATAAAAATATTATAATAGATGAAATAATTTAATATTAATATGATTGAAAACATAAATTACAATTGATTGCAAGATTTCAACATCTTTAAAATCTACAATTTGTTATAAATTTGATATTAGTGTTAGATTAATTTTTAGCGGTTAACTCATTTGTTAACTGATACATGTTTTGTTACCTGATAAATTTACTCAGTTCGAGAAAAAATTGAAACTTCGAGAATATTTATTTGTTAACATACAATATCTAACACATGTATTGACATCTACAAATTTGTTAATAACTAACACTTCTGTTAACAATTATGGTACATGTATTTGTTAACATATAAGACATCTGTTAACATCTACAAAATTTGTTAACAGTTAATGCCTCTATTAATACAACTGGTACATGTATTTGTTAACATCTAACACCGCAATATTTTCTATATATATTATTAACAATACATCTGTTAATGTTATATATAGCAAATAATAAATTGAAACCTCAAGATAAAAAATATTTCATCATGTAAAGAAAAGAACAAAAAAATTAGAAGAGAAAATGACAAAAAAAAGGTGATGAGAAAGTTTGAGGGTGAGAAAGAAGTCGAATCGAAGGAAAGAGAGAGAGATAGTCATGAGAGAGTGTCAGGAGAGGGAGTGGTGAGAGTAGGATTGTCATTATTTTGTTAATGTCATATCATGTGTAATATGCAAAATAGGGGGTTGATTTAGGGTGCCTGAACCAATAATCTCTTAAATATTTGGGTATGTTTAGCCCACTCATATATGGGGTCACCCTAATAAAGATTACTTCCTTTCTTATCAAAATGTTCTCTTCCTCATGTGCTTTTATGCATTTTCACATCGATTTTCGAGGACAAACTTCTTTCACATCACCACTATTACTATAAAACTAGGTAATAATTCGCGCGGAATGAGATTATTGATTTTATTTTTTAGGATAGAATATATTATGTATGTTTAATCATACGTTATACGAAATTTTCGATAGAGGTGTGTTTCTTATTTCTGAAGCGGAATCGAAACCAGAAACATTGGAATCGCATGAAATCGTCACAGAATCACGTTTTCAGAATTGTGATGTTTAGAAGCGTGATGGAAACACAGTTCATAGATAGAAGCGTGATAGTCATTGATCGAAAGCTTGACGGTAGTTGTATTATTGATGTTTAAAGAAGATGGAAATTTTCTTGTGGGCTTGCAAATTTTAATTGATTTATAACTCAATTTAACTCACTTTATTTTAAAAATCTTAATCCATAAATAACAAAAGAACTGAATACTAAAAATGTAAATATATTTCAATTCCAGGTTTCTGAATAATAATCTAGTTGTAATATATTTTTCATTTATTCGTTTTGCGTCATGTTATTTGTATTATCAGTTCGTGTGTATGAAATAATTAACTCCCGTAGTTTCTTTTATTTTATTAGTTCGAAGCAATTATATATAATTTACACATGTTATATTATATTTGTTTTTTGTAATTATATATATTTTTTATTTGAGTTATAGTATATGAATTTTGTACTGAATTTTCCTATTTAAAATATTTGTTCAGTATATTAACTTTGGTTTTATATATATATATATATGCTTTCAACACGTATTAGTTTCCTAGTTATTACTAAAATTGTGTTTTTGCGCTTTCTACCGCTTCCGCGTACCTACTTCTGTTTCCACGTAACATATGTTTAATCTAGATATCGGTTTGGTTTTAAGTTAGCTTGGTTTTTAATTTATTAAACTATAATTATTATTCTTAATCAATATTTATTCTGTTTATTCAGTTAAAATTCTTGAGGTTTTAGATTTTTTAATGATGACCAAAAACTATTATTATTTTTTTGGTTTCATGTTATATGAATTTTAAACAGTTTTGATATCAAACCAACGGTTTCATATTATAATTTTAAAAAGCATGAAAAATTAAATCAAATCTAGATAATAATTGAAGAAAAAGAAAATAAAATATTTTTAAAAAATCATTTCATTACAATTTGGTCGATGGTGAATGGAAACATTAAAAATAATATTTTAGCTTCCAAGAGAATAAGAATCCTCATTTGTACTGAAGATTTAGTTATATAGGTGCTCACGTTAATGTGCATATGTATGTAGGTTTGGACAAAATATCGGTAAATTTTGATTTTACTCATCATCCTTTTTGATTCGAACAAAAAATTGGATATTCGTAACTCTACGAAGAAAAGAAAATACTAATATGCAATATCCGTAAAAGACGGAACAAATCACAAATACTAATATTTTTATAAGTAGATATTTGATCCGATTTGTTATATGCTTATATATATACATATACTTAATGAAGTATATATAAATTGTATAAATTATATTCTGTATAAGTTTTACAATATTTGTACTTCCTAAATTTATTAATTAGTTATTATTATTCATAAAAGTAAATAACTTTTTTTGTAACAAAATTTTATTATTTAAGTTTTTTTTTTTTACAGATCGAAACAGATTAAAATATTTTTTTTCTGGGACACTATATATTTGAATGGCTACGAATCAAATAAAATTGGATAATTGATTATTCAGACAAAACATA